TTCTTCTCAGTAGCCACAATAAGCTTCTTGGAGCCCTGTGAAGCTTCCAAGGAAGAAAACTTGAGTTTTCCCACATACTGCTGCCTCCTAAGGAACAGAAAAATCAAAGAAGGTGTGAAAAAAGAACACTTTCCACTTAACCTACTGAAAAATAGGGAAAGGATGATTAAAATTAACACAGGTGGCCAGAACACAAACTATATGGTGGCACTGGCTGCAACTATTAAGGACTGACAGAGGAAAACCACAACACTACTATAATCCTTCTTGCAGGGGTGGGGGGAAATCACTGTAAATGAAAAGAGAAACTGAGTCTGAATGAGCAAGAAAGGAATTTTGTGATATTTTGGAGCTCAGTGTCAAATCTGCTTCTAGGAAATTCACACAAAGAAAACAAAGTGTCTAAGACTCTGTTGCACTGCAGTATAACCAGTCTCATTCTTGCATCTTCACTAAATACTACCAAAGCAAACAATGTATTCTTATCCACGAAAAGAGCTGCCATGTGCTGCTTCTATTAAGATGGCCCCTTGCAAAGAGGAAGTCTCTGGTCTTCACAGCTCTTTTGGGGCCATATTAAATTCTTCCCTGAGCTCTCTGCATCTTGGGTAGCATCAATGGATTTCTACCATCTGACCCAACAAACATGCAACTGAGAAGAGACATGTAATAAAAGTTTATTAATAATACCTAGCTCTTACACAGCACTTTGCATCAGTAGACCTCAAAGCCCGAAGGACATAAGCATTCTTAGCCCCCACTTTACAGATGGGGAAACTGAGGCACGTGATAGATTACATAATTTACCCAAGGTCACTCAGCAGGCCAGTGACAGAGCCAGAATTAGAACCCAGCTCTCCTGAATCCCCATCCATTGCTTTACTCAGTAGGTCACATCAGAATTGGATAACTTTGCTGGAGAATGTTTTTCCTATTATGTTAAAGATTGTGTGTTAGGATACCATGGATGTGAAATGAGCACTTTGAAAGAGACTGGAAATAAATGTCAGTCTCTGACAACCTGCAAGAACCCATCTTTACAATATCCAAAACAGCACTGGGTATTTATATGGATATCAAGAATATCCAGAGCAGTCATAATTAATAAAAACAAACATTAAGCACAGAAGAAAGGCCATACTGGGTCAGACCAAAGGTCCATCTAGTCCAGTATCCTACCTTCCGACAGTAGTCAATGCCAGGTGCCCCAGAGGGAATGAACGAAACAGGTAATCATCAAGTGATCAATCCCCTGTTGCCCATTCTGAGCTGCTGGCAAACAGAGGCTAAGGACACCATCCCTGTCTATCCTAGCTAATAGCCATTGATGGACCTATCCTCCATGAACTTATCTAGTTCTTTTTTTAACCCTGTTATAGTCTTGGCCTTCACAACATCCTCTGGCAAGGAGTTTCACAGGTTGACTGTGTGTTGTGTGAAAAAATACTTCCTTTTGTTTGTTTTAAACCTTCTGCCTATTAATTTCATTTGGTGACCTCTAGTTCTTGTGTTGTGAGGAGTAAATAACACTTCCTTATTTATTTTCTCCACACCTGTCATAATTTTGTATCATATCCCCCCATAGCTGTCTCTTTTCCAAGTTGAAAAGTTCCAGTCTTATTAATCTCTCCTCATACGGCAGCCGTTCCATACCCCTAATCATTTTTGTTGCCCTTTTCTGAAACTTTTTCAATTCCAATATATCTTTTTTGAGATGGGGCGACCACATCTGCACGCAGTATTCAAGATGTACCATGGATTTATACAGAGGCAATATGATATTTTTGGTCTTACTATCTACTCCTTTCTTAATGATTCCCAACATTGTTAGCTTTTTTTTGACTGCCGCTGCACACCGAGTGGTTGTTTTCAGAAAACTATCCACAATGACTCCAAGATCTCTTTCTTGAGTGGTAACAGCTAATTTAGACCCCATCATTTTATATGTATAGTTGGGATTATGCTTTCCAAGGTGCATTACTTTGCATTTATCAACATTGAATTTCATCTGCTATTTTGTTGCCCGGTCACCCAGTTTTCAGAGATCCTTTTGTAGCTCTCCACAGTCTGCTTGGGATTTAAGTATCTTGAGTAGTTTTGTATCATTCTGGAAGGGATGTTAAGCCTCAAGGTTCATGTCTGCCTGCTGCACAGTTCTTACTCATTCCTACAAAACTAGCCACTGTCAGAGACAAGACTTTGAACTAGATGGACCTTGGGTGTGAGCCAATATGGCAATTCCTATGTCTTTAGGTTGAAAGCCACTGCTGTGGCAAAGGTCATTTTCTTCCTCCCCAGTGAGATGGGAAGCAGAAATCGACATCCTCAGCTATCCCTTTGAGAAAAGGGAGACAGGGAGCAGCTTCGTGAGGCAAAGGGCTCTAAATCCTAGACAGCAGGACAAATACCTGATCAGCTAATGCACCTTTCCGATGGCCAGTGCGGGCCTGTTCCCTACAGATGTTTCTGAAGCTGGGGCTCTCACGCGGCCATGGCAAGATTGGGGGACACGTTTTCCCCCAGAGATACCAGCACCCGTGACGGTGACAGGCAAGCCAGCTCGGGGCCAGGGCAGAGCTCAGCTGCCAGCAGGCTCCTGCTCACCTCGCAAAGCTCAGCTCAGCTGCAGCCGTTCTGCCCGCTTCACACCCAGTCTGGCAGCGGGGTCGGACTCGGGCTCCGATGGGGCGACGCTCAGGATTCGCTTCTTCCCCGGCTCACCCCAAGGATGGGCGGGAGATACCCGGACACAGCCCCTCTTGCCCGAGAGAACGGTGGGGAGAGGGGAGATGCCCAGCCCCCCACCCCAGGGGACGGCGGGAGGGGGTGCCCAGCCCAGGGGACGGCGGGAGGGGGTGCCCAGACCTCTCCGCAGGGGGCAGCGGGGAGGGTGCCCAGCCCCCACCCCAGGGGACACCGGGAGGGGGTGCCCAGACCTCTCCGCAGGGGGCAGCGGGGAGGGTGCCCAGCCCCAGGGGACACCGGGGGGGGGGAATTAAATACCCGGATGTGGCCCCAGCACCTACCAGTCGAACTTGCCCACTTGATCCTCGTAGACCGCGGCCGCCAGCGGGGCCAGGAGCAGCAGCCACGGCCAGGCACCGGCCGTCATGGTCCGAGCCCGGGAGCTGCTCCGAGTCCGAGCCCTATCCCGACAGGCAGCGCGCCGGCTCCACCGAGCGGCCCCGCCAGGCGGGGCCTCGCCCACAAGGGCTGCCGTGTTTGGCGCCTTAATGAGGAAAAACACCCGCACCCGGGCAGGGTCTGCTCTTGGTGTTGGCACTAATGGCGGCGTAGGGGGAAGCCTCCGCGGGGAAAGGGGCGCGCTGGGCCGGCTGTGGCGGAAGGGAGTATCCCAGCGAGGGCAGCTCTAGTCAGGCACCTCCTCGGGCACCTCCAGGAGCTTCCTATCCCGGCAGCCCTCGCGGCGCACGGGGTCCTTGGAGCGCTCAGCCGGGGCAGCAACGTGCGAGCCATGCCTAAGTCCAAGCGGGACAAGAAGAGTAAGTGACCCCCCCCCGGGGCTGACTGCCGGGGCCCCTCTGCGCTGCCCGGCTCGCTGCCCGCCCGGCGCCGGGCCCCTGGCCCCTGTGCCGGCGGGAGGCTCCGGGGTCGGGCGGGGCCACTCGCCTTTCGGTAGCAGCTTCCCTGCCCCGCTGAGGTGGAGCCCCCGGCGGGGCCTGCCCCGCCCTCAGCGGGTACCTGGCTGCTGCGACGCCCCGGTACCCGACTGCGGCGTGGGAGCCCCCAGGGGCTCTTGACGGTGTGTCCTGCGGCTCTGGGCAGCGCGTGATGTAAAAACACTGTGATTTAATTATTAACCACTCAGGCTGCTTTTACTTTGTGATTAAACCTATCGTAGAATACTTGGTCAGTCAGTTTGCTGTGAGAATATTTTATTTATATATATATATATATACATACACCACCACCACCACCACAAACGGATTCAGACTACTGTGTCTCTTTTGGGTAATGTTGTTAATCTGGCTACTGAGGTCTGAGTATCAGAGGGGTAACCATATTAGTCTGTATCCACAAAAAACAACAAGGAGTCCGGTGGCACCTTGAAGACTAACAGATTTATTTGGGCATAAGCTTTCGTGGGTAAAAAAACCCACTTATTCAGATGCATGGAGTGAAAGTTATAGATACAGGCATAAATGTATATACTGGCACATAAAGAGAAGGGAGTTACCTTCACTACAAAAGGAATTTTCCCTCTCTCGGTATTGACACCTCATCATCATTATTGGGAGTGGACCATATCCACCCTGACTGAATTGGCCTTGTCAACACTAGTTCTCCACTTGTAAGGTAACTCCCTTCTCTTCATGTGCCAGTGTGTGTGTGTGTGTGTGTATATATATATGTATATATGTATGCCTGTGTCTGTAATTTTCACTCCATGCATCTGAAGAGGTGGGTTTTTTACCCGCAAAAGCTTATGCCCAAATAAATCTGTTAGTCTTTAAGGGGCCACCAGACTCCGCATTGTTACTGAGGTCTACGTACCACTAAGGCTGGGGGTGGGGGAAATTGTGTGCTGACATTAGGCAGAATAGGTTGCGTTAGTTGGTTTGGGAATTATAGAACCCATTCAGCAGCCTCAGTAAAGATGTTTCCTTTCTATTCATGAGTTCCTTGTCTCCTACCAGGGATGATGCAAATATCTGGCGGTGTGCTGTTGTATGTCAGTGCAATATGAAACCCTGAAATGTTTTATTTCAATGATGGTTTGTAGCTCATGGTTTTAATCAGTAAAGGAAACTCTGATCCTACAACCATGCAGGGACTCCCAGCAAAGCATCAGTGCTAGAAGGTTGCACCTGGTCTTCTAGGAGTGAGTCAAAAGTCTTTGAGTTCATTAAAGCTGATGTCCAGAGTGTATTTGGCAGCCACATTTCTGTGCTTTTTAATTGTACTTTCCATAAGCAGTGCCCAAGTTATCAATGATGCTGAAGCTCTTCTTCTTCCTTTCAGTTTCCCTAACAAAAACCACGAAGAAAGGTTTAGAAGTCAAACAGGGCTTAATAGAAGAGGTAAGTAAGAACATACGTCGTAAGGTGCTGCATTTAGTTTTCCATTCTGTATCAGAGAAAAACATAGATATGTTCTTTCCCTTCTGTAGAATCTCCTTCTGTTAGGATCTTACTGTACTTTACACAGAGTAAGTCGCACTACATGCTTTCTAGATGTGGGGAAACTGTGGCACACAGGCAATTTGACTAGACCCCAGAAATATAGAAAAGAAGCAGTTTGAGAAACTGGTGTCAGATGAATTCATTATTAATCTGTTAAGATTCTTACAAAAAAAAGTTACAATGCATACAGTAAAACTACCTCAGGATTTAAGCTGTGTGCCACAAGGGTCATAAAAGAATTCATCATGCTGTCTGTGTACTGGGTCATACAGTTAACCAACTACATTACTGAGGCTTCTTGATCTTTTCAGGTATTGGCTTCTACCAGGGGCAGGACAGTGGGCTTAATGGCTGAATTGTGTAATGCAGTTTAGCGGTCGAGGTAGTAACTACAAACAGCATCCTAAACGACAGCCAAGGCCATCCATGTAAATCGGATGATGACATTCTCTCATGCTGGATGGAACATTATCACAGTGTCCTGAACCATCCTCCAGCTGCCTCTTGTTCAGAGCTGGATGATCTGGCAGTCACTGCGGTTCCAGATCCAGACATTTGTACTGATGTTCCAATATTGGATGAAGTGAAGTGTGCCGTCTCTAAACTGAAAAATGGACGCACAGCCGGTGCTGATGGCATCCCCTCAGAGCTGCTAAAATGTGCTATTGATCCTGTAGCAGAATCACTTCTGGCTATCTTTCGTCTGGTGTGGAGAACTGAAACCCTGCCAAATGCCTGCAAGGACGGTACTGTGATCTCACTCTATAAGGGCAAGGGACCACGCAGTGAATGTAAAAGCTACAGGCTGATCACCTTGCTCTCCATTCCAGGGAAGGTGTTTGTACGTGTTTTGCTGGCACGCCTTTGCTACATCGGAAGCGTCGTCCCCAACAGTCAGGCTTTACAAGGAACAGGTCCACATGAGACACCATTTTGGCTGTTTGCTTATTGTCAGAGATACACCGCGAGTTCAGGAAGCACCTGCACTTAGCATATGTTGATCTTAAGGCTGCATTTGATTCAGTAGACCATGTCGCGTTATGGAAGGCCTTAAAGGGCATAGGTGTCCCTACCACTCTGCTGGACTTAATTGGAGAGTTTCATAATGGAACCCCTGCCCATGTTCGTCTGGGGAACCGGATGTCAGTACCTTTTAAATCAGTATCTGGTGTTAGGCAGGGTTGCGTTCTGGCCCCTGCACTCTTTTGTCGGGCAATGGATTTCATAATGCAGCATTCCATCAGGTCCATAGGCATTGAAATCGGCGATCTCTCACTCAGAGATCTTGATTACGCTGATGACGTTGTTCTTTTAATACAGAGCCCCAACAGGTTTCATGAGGCACTCCAGCAGATGGAGGACGAGTTAGCTAAGATGGTCTCCATGTTTCATGGTCAAACACAAAACTGCAAAATCTAGGACCAGGTCCACCTGCGACTCCAGCCTCCTTGAACAATGAAACTGTCAAATCAGTTTCCAGCTTTTATGATCTGGCTTCTATACTTACCAGCTCCTCCAATTCTCACGCAGAGGTTCTCCATCAGATTGGCATCGCAGCATCTGCCATGGGCCATTTACAACGGATATGGAATCAACATCATCATAGTACGACAACCAAGCTGAGGATTTATTTGAGCTGTATCCTTCCCATACTGTTGTACGGCTGTGCAACCTGGACACTATGCCGCGCAGACCGGACAAAGCTGGAGGCTTTCCACACAAAATGTCAACATCGTATATTGGGCATAAAGTGGAATGACTTCATCTGTTATACAGATGTTTATGGTCGTTTGGGTCTACAGACTACTGGGGCCATTGTCCGCAGGCAGCTCCTTACGCTTCTTGGCCATGTCGCAAGGATGCCACAAGACATTCCAGCGAACTACATTCTCCGGGTGGTTTGTAACATCCGGGATAAAATTCCACCAACTGGGGGGTGGAGGCAGCCCAGAGGTAGACCCCCTATTACATGGGTTCATCAAGTCTGTTCCGATGTTGGACTCTCAGGCTGTCAAGCCTTTGCGGTTGCGCAGGAACGGACCAAATGGTGAACGATCTCTATGGCCGACTGGCTAAGCGTTAGAGAGAGAGAGAGAGTTTAACAAATCCTGTGTTTGTTTTATAATACATAGTTTTATTTTAATGTAAAAAAAATTGAGTTTTACAGTTGATTAGTTCAAATGGAGAATCTCGCATCAAAATCATAGTTGTTAGTTCCATGGATTGCCCGATATTGCTGGGGAACTAGAGATGTTGCCATGAATAGAATTTTTGAACAATCCTCCCACCCCATCTTCTGTGTTTAAGCTGTTGCAGAAATGCATTGGTATGCAATGGGGATTTCTCCGATGTTTGCTATAACTGCTCAATATCATGTTCTCCTATAGTTGCGGAAATGTGTGGACACCTACAAACACCTCTTCATCTTCTCTGTTGTCAATATGAGAAACAACAAGCTGAAGGATATCAGAAGTGCCTGGAAGCACAGCAGGTGAGCAGTAGTCTCCGAGATTGCTTCCCCTCATGGCTAGTGATCATGAATATTGTGTTATAGGTGTATACGTATCTTAGACAGATTACTGTACTTACTTCTGTGGGAGGGGGAGGTAAGGTGCTAAAAGAGCTCTATGAATTTTCTTCTCTTCCGCCCCTCAAGATGATAGTTTTCAGGAAGTAGCTTGGGGCTCTTGGCTGCAGTGCTGGAGTTAACCCTAGGATTTCAGAAACGTCAGCGTTTGATGGCAGCTGCATCTTTCAGGCACTGGCACGTAGAGCTAAAGTGATGCAATTACTATCACTTGCCTTCCCTCTCCTGTTTGGGGCAGAAACAGTACCTTTCCTAATTCTTAGGTTACAAGAGAGAAGTTTCAGGATCCCCTTCCCCGGCCCTTAAAAAGGGAGAGGCAGCGACTCCCAGATTGAGAACCCGTCTTCATCCCTGATTCAACTCTGCAGATGTATTGAGCCCATCATGATGGATTCTTTTCCTTTTTTTCCAATAGGATTTTCTTTGGGAAAAACAAAGTTATGATGGTGGCATTGGGACGGGGGCCAGCTGATGAGTACAAGGAGAACTTACACCAGGTATGTTCTGATTTCCATAACTTTTGCATGTTTTGGAAGTGAGCCTTATTTTCTGTAAATCTCAAGAGAAAATAAAGAATTGCTTTGGAGAGCCAGTATGGATCAATACTCTTCCATCGGCAGTAAATGGGGTTCAGATACTTAGATTGTCAGCTCTTTGGGGGCAGGGACCATCTTTCTGCTCTGTGTTTGTACAGCGCCTAGCACGAAGAGGTCCTGGTCCATGCCTAAGCACTACCACAATGATGATAAATGCCAGTCCTTCACTGATATGTAGATCTTTAGGCAAGTTGCCTTTGACAACAGTCCCGTTGCCAGTGTGAGCAGCCTTTTAACTCTGGTGATGGTTAGCTTCACGTCAGTGTAGCTTTGTTCACCATAGGTTCTTCCACTATAGTAAGAAATTTGTCCTTTTTATCAGTTCATCAAAGGAAGGGTGCATGAGGATGTTGCCGCATTTACCTCTCCTCCTTCCAGTATGTTTGGGGGTGAGGGGTAAAATGGTGCCTTGCTCACAAGATACCTAATTGAGGACACTCCTTGTTAGTACTATAGCAACTCAATCCTGAAGATCTGGGTTGCAGGTACAAGTGGCATCTCTCAGCCAATACTGCTTAATCTTCTTTCAGTGGAGGCAGAATTGTTGGGAGAGCTCTAAGGACCTCCACCAGTAGATGTGTCTTCACATCTTTTTAGTCTCTCACTGAAGTAGGACTGCAGCCAGTGTCTGAATAGTCTGAATTCATCCATCCAAGCTTTACAAATAATTTGGAGCCTCAGCCCTATGGCATTCTTGCTACAGTTTGAAAAACTAAACTCCAATGCTAAGAGCCCTCACAGGAGTCCAAAAATTCATAGAATCATAGAATATCAGAGTTGGAAGGGACCCTCTAGCCCAACCCCCTGCCCAGAGCAGGACCAATCCCCAACTAAATCATCCCAGCCAGGGCTTTGTCAAGCCTGACCTTAAAAACTTCTAAGGAAGGGGATTCCACCACCTCCCTAGGTAACGCATTCCAGTGTTTCACCACCCTCCTAGTGAAAAAGTTTTTCCTAATATCCAACCTAAAGCTCCCCCACTGCAACTTGAGACCATTACTTCTTGTCCTGTCATCTGCTATCACTGAGAATAGTCTAATCCATCCTCTTTGGATCCACCTTTCAGGTAATTAAAAGCAGCTATCAAATCCCCCCTCATTCTTCTCTTCCGTAAACTAAACAATCCCAATTCCCTCAGCCTCTCCTCATAAGTCATGTGTTCCAGACCCCTAATCATTTTTGTTGCCCTCCACTGGACTCTCTCCAATTTCTCCACATCCTTCTTGTAGTGTGGGGCCCAAAACTGGACACAGTACTCCAGATGAGGCCTCACCAATGTCGAATAGAGGGGGACGATCACGTCCCTCGATCTGCTCGCTATGCCCCTACTTATACATCCCAAAATGCCATTGGCCTTCTTGGCAACAAGGGCACACTGCTGACTCATACCCAGCTTCTGGTCCACTATAACTCCTAGGTCCTTCTCTGCAGAACTGCTGCCTAGCCATTCGGTCCCTAGTCTGTAGCGGTGCATTGGATTCTTCCGTCCTAAGTGCAGGACTCTGCACTTGTCCTTGTTGAACCTCATCAGATTTCTTTTGGCCCAATCCTCCAATTTGTCTAGGTCCCTCTGTATCCTATCCCTACCCTCCAGTGAATCTACCACTCCTCCCAGTTTAGTGTCATCCGCAAACTTGCTGAGGGTGCAATCCACACCATCCTCCAGATCATTAATGAAGATATTGAACAAAACCGGCCCCAGGACTGACCCTTGGGGCACTCCGCTAGATTCAGACTGCCAACTAGACATGGAGCCATTGATCACTACCCGTTGAGCCTGACAATCTAGCCAACTTTCTACCTACCTTGTAGTGCATCCATCCAGCCCATACTACTTTAACTTGCTGACAAGAATACTGTGGGAGACCGTGTCAAAAGCTTTGCTAAAGTCAAGGAATAACACGTCCACTGTTTTCCCTTCATCCACAGAACCAGTTATCTCATCATAGAAGGCAATTAGATTAGTCAGGCATGACTTTCCCTTGGTGAATCCATGCTGACTGTTCCTGATCACTTTCCTCTCCTCTAAGTGCTTCAGAATTGATTCCTTGAGGACATGCTCCATGATTTTTCTGGGGACTGAGGTGAGGCTGACTGGCCTGTAGTTCCCAGGATCCTCCTTCTTCCCTTTTTTAAAGATTGGCACTACATTAGCCTTTTTCCAGTCTTCCAGGACTTCCCCCGATCGCCATGAGTTTTCAAAGATAATGGCCAATGGCTCTGCAATCACATCCGCCAATTCCTTTAGCACTCTCGAATGCTTTGCATCCAGCCCCATGGACTTGTGCATGCCCAGCTTTTCTAAATAGTCCCGAACCACTTCTTTCTTCACAGAGTGCTGGCCACCTCCTCCCCATGCTGTGCTGCCCAGTGCAGTAGTCTGGGAGCTAACCTTGTTTGTGAAGACAGAGGCAAAAAAAGCATTGAGTACATTAGCTTTTTCCACATCCTCTGTCACTAGGTTGCCTCCCTCATTCAGTAAGGGGCCCACACTTGCCTTGACTTTCTTCTTGTTGCCAACATACCTGAAGAAACCCTTCTTGTTATTCTTGACATCTCTCGCTAGTGGTAACTCCAGGTGTGATTTAGCCGAATCTCTGTTTAACTAATTTTTCTTCAGTAATTCTATGACTGCTTAATCTTCTTTCAGTGGAGGCAGAATTATTGGGAGAGCTTGAAGGTCCTCCACCAGTAGATGTGTCTTCACATCTTTTTTGCCTCTCACTGAAGTAGGATGGCAGCTAGTGTCTGAATAGTCTGAATTCATCCATCCAAGCTTTAAAAATAATTTGGAGCCTCAGCCCTATGGAATTCTTTTTGAAATACAGTTTGAAAAACTAAACTCCAATGCTAAGAGCCCTCACAGGAGTCCAAAAATTCTCTGTTTAACTAATTTTTCTTCAGTAATTCTATGACTAGATCATAGTGACTTTTCAAATGGGATTTCTCTGCTTTTTCTTGATCAAACATCTGAGAATCTTGAGCTAAATTCTTTCTTAGGCCCCACTGATTCATACTCTTTCCCTCCTCCCACAATCTAATCTCCTTTCTCCAGAATTTACATCTGGAATGTCCTGCCAAGCCAGTGCTTCCATCAGCCACAGAACAGGTTTCACGCTAGGAGGAAAAGTCTCCTGAAATAGATTTGCCATCTACATCCTGTCCTTAATTTAGGTTTCCTCACAGCACCAAAGGGCTGCAAGACACGTCGGAGCTGATGAATCAATATCTGCAAATCTAAGGGTTGGGTCCTCTGAATTATCTGGGCTTCCTGAGTAAATTCCGTGGTATTAGGGGGCTTTAGCACAGTCCAAGATAAGTGCGCTGCTGAATTCCACATGCTGCTTATTTTCCAGGTCAGCAAACACCTAAAAGGTGAAGTTGGTCTCCTGTTCACCAATCGCACCAAAGAAGAAGTGAACGAGTAAGTATCTGGGGGGGTAACAAAGGGGCTTCGGGCTAATGGCACCCTTGCCACCAGTGTTGCATCTCGATTGAGAAAGAACTAAAGTTCAGACTGAGCCTCTTCTCCCTCACTGAAACAGAAGCCGCTACTGGAAGCAATTCTCTCGCTCTCCTTGATGCTGATCCCATGACAATGTTCAGCTTAAAGTGCTTTTATGCATGCCTCCCTTTGGAGCTGCGATGGGAAAGGCTCACAGTGGAAAAGGCAGGGGGAAGGTATAACAGGTTATGCAGTGATTGAAAAGGGAATGGGAGGTGCTACGCTCTGATTCACGTGGCTGCTTTCTTGGAGATGTTGAACTACGCTTGTCCATTTAAACTGGGTAATCTCCATAACAGTAAAATCTAACGCCACACGGTGAGCAATCTCTGACCACCACCCCACAAACACATCTGACTGGACTTTTCCTTTCCTGAATCTCTTGCTCTAACATAACTTGCACTTACCTGTAAAGTTAGTGTATGGTCGAACAGCTACAAAGCTTTCCAGAGTCCCCAAGAGTTACCTACACACATGGACACTGTACACAAGTACAAATCACGTTCTGGTCTCGCTGGCCTGTGCAGGAGAGAGTGAGTGTGGAAGTAGTAGAACATCTCTTGGTAAGTTGGCCTGTCATCCGTCATGTGGACCCAGGCGAACTAGAGGAATTTTGCTCGGGGGGGGAGAGGTAATTGTAAACCTAGCTTGAAAAGGATGTATTTCTTTAATGAGAAAGCAGGAAAAACTGCAACCCTGCTGCCTTCTAAAGCTTTTCCACCATCAACAGAACATTCACATTCAGTCACTCTCTTTTCCTCCATCTCTCCCACCCTCCCCAAGACACATACCCCCTGCAAAAAAAAAAAAAAAAAATACTCTGGACTTTATTACTGCTGATCTGTTTTACATGGAAGGTGTTTGGATACTGTAGTGATGGGTAGTACAAAACCCATAGATGCTGATTTCACAATGTCCGCCCCTCTTGGGGTAGGATAGATGAATTCCAAGGCTGACCCATCCCAAATGAGGTTTATTCCACAGCTGGAGGTTTCTTAAATAAGTAATACTCTTGTTTCCTCCCCTCCAGATGGTTCTCTCAGTTCAAAGAGGTGGACTTTGCCCGTGCAGGTAACAAGGCAACATTTACAGTGAGCCTGGACACGGGGCCCCTGGAGCAGTTTCCCCACTCCATGGAGCCTCAATTACGGCAGCTGGGATTGCCAACGGCTTTGAAGAAAGGTATGTGAGCTGCCTGGCGCATATGACCATAATTCCCTCTCCGCCACTAAAATTATTCCAGATTTACTGGCTTTTATTCAATAAATGTTGGTAGCATCTTGGTCAGCATATATGCAGGAAGGCCGGGCAGGGTGAGTGTTAGATGATGGAAGCAGAAGTCAGAGCATATGTTCAGCAGGGAACATCTAATATTAAAAACCCCTTTCTCCTCCTATGGTTGACACTGGAATTGTTTGTTTGTTCTATATCATAAAATTCTTGTTTCTAAGAGCTGGTCAGGATAAGCCAAGCACCTGATGAAAGCCCCATCTCCTGTATGCCTTGGTTTTTCATATCAGTCAGCTGGGCTTGACCTGCAGATCACAATGATTTTTCATGGAGGATGTGATTTATTTACTTCATTATATGCCTTGACAAAGCCACAGGCGGTCATGTGAAGTCTCCTGTTATTTCCGTCAAAGGAACTGGGAGGAAGGAATCAGCCTGAATTAGTAATTGCATAAAAATGGGGGAGCCAGGGGAACTCAGCATTTGGGAGAGGATAGGCATGAAGCAAACACCTGCTAAGAAATTAGTTGCTGAAGTGGGTTTACACTGCATATCAATTTCAACGACTGATACATGCCTTCCATTATATTACATTTCCTCAAAGAACGGTCAGCCTATGTAAAAATCAAAACAATTTATTGTGCTGCTGGATTGAAGCTTCATTACTCTATGCTGCCAGCAATAGAGAACCAGGCTGGGAGCTCTGATTACCACAGCTGCTCCATTTCTTCTCTAACCTCATGTGGTATTCATCCCCCTGACTGGATCCCCTTCTTCCTCCCTGTGCCTGCAGGAGTGGTGACACTGCTTTCTGATTATGAAGTCTGCAAGGAAGGGGATGTTCTGACCCCTGAACAGGCTCGTGTCTTGGTGAGTAACATATTAGCAGCACAGTTAGCTAGCTATAGTTCAGGGGCAGCCACTATTTCCACCCAGTAACAAGTCCTGTGGATCTTTCCTGAAATTACAGATTAGTGTGGCCAGTAAATTTTATTCAGTGTGTGAAACCATTTGTGCTCAAATCAAGTTACTCCAGTTCTGGATATTAACCATAATGAATAGCTGCTGTTCATTAGGGTTGTATGCATCCTTAAGAGCTGTTTTGGCTGCTAGTCAATAATGCTTGACTGGGGATTAATGACCAGCTGGAAGAATAGTCCAAGGTGCAAACGAAGGAGCCCAGCTGATAACTTGAGAAATACCCTGTGCTGAGACAGGTATTGCTTAAATTATAAGAACACACAGAGAAATGACCAGGCTAATGGATGATAGATCAGGTATTGCTAAAAGAATTAAATGGCTTGCATGTTGAGATTTGAATCCTACCTTTGCATTCTAGTTTTATACTGTGCATTTTGAAACCAGCAGTAAAATCATAGCTGCCTGAGAGTGGCATGGACTGAGGAAGGGATCCATCTAATCGAGCTTGAAGGGAAAAGTCTGCATTAAAATAGCTTCATGCTTTTGGTCTAGCTCAAGTTGAACAACTTATCCTTATATTAAAATGCACCCTTTGATTCTTGCTTACATCCCCTGTTTTGTCATAATGCAGTTTAAAGGTGTTAGTTAATGTGAGAGCTAGCCTTGCCACAAGGAGGCTAGCAGTATGAGTGACAAGTTCCTGTCTCCCTTTCAGAAACTCTTTGGCTATGAGATGGCAGAATTTAAAGTGACCATCAAGGGCATGTGGCATTCTGAGACAGGAGACTTCCAGCAGTTGGTGAAGGAGACAGAAGAAACCTCAGAGATGGAGGAGGAGGAGGAGGATGACGACGAAGAAAATGGCAACTAACTGAAAGACCTGCTATAGGACATTAGAGACAGTTTGTTCTATTTCAAGAATAGTCCACTGAAGCCCATGGGTACTCTCCCTCAGTTGCAGCAGGACAAAGTTGATCAACCCACAGACTTGCTATTTATCAAAGATGATGCAAATGGTTTATATATAAAATTAAGTAGAAATTTTGGATCCCTGCCTGTGCAGCCTCTTTGAGCCTGTTCTCAGGTTCTGCACATTTTCTCCTCGTTCAGGGATGCTCAAGTTTCACGTAAGAAGTAAAACCCTTTCCACTCTGTGTTTATTGTTCAGACTTGAACTCAGCAAATCTACTTCACCGCCCCATAATCCTTCCCCCTACAGAAAATTGCTTTTGAACTGCTCACTTTGCATTAGAAATGACAGTTATATAGAGAGCAACTATTTAAATGCAACTTGTCTCCAAAGGAGAAGGTGCTAATTCATATTTCCTAGGATCCCTAGAAGGTTGGGTTTTGTCTTAATTCAAAAGCTAAGAGAACAATCTAGACTATTCCTTTGAGGGCAGATACTGACTAAATTACCACTGAAGCCAAAGGATGAAGTGTAGTGACTAAGCTAGTTTCCTGTGCCATCTTTTAGTAAGTTCCTTCTGTCTTCACTGAGCCTGTTTAAGAACAGTGCATCACCAGAACTACTGCAGCTTCCCTATTTCTCGGTGTAGAATGGTAACAGAGCAGCAGTTTAACCTTTTTTCATTTGCAGGCCCCTAAAAAATTTCAAGTGGAGGTGCAGACCCCTTTGAAAATCTTAAACAGTCTGCAGACCACAGGTTGAAAACCACTGTTCTACGGTAATGCCAACCTTTGGCAGACCCCCTAGACATAGTCTTCAGACCCCAGGGGATGTGTGGACTACAGGTTGAAAACCGCTGAAATAGAAGAATTATCTTCTCTCCAACTTCTAGTATAGAATACCTGTGATTTTCCTGTAACTGATTCTTGGCCCAGCACTTCCAAGGCTTTATGGGAATGAGTAATTTTTTTTTTTTTTTAAAAAGGGGAAAGAGTCCTAAAGGTTATACTTTAAATGTTGGTGTAACTAACCTCTGAAGTAGAGCTGCTGTGGAAGTGAGTATATGTGTACAATACTCAATCTGTAGAAGCAGGCAAAATCCTGTAGTTAAGACTTTAGGAAGCAGAACTGAGGTTGCAACTACATGACCAAGACAGAAGGGGGCACTGTGGTGGTAAAGTAGTCACATGACCAGTTATAATTAGTGCCTATGGTACTTGCAAGTGTCTAGATCAGTGGTCTCCAACCTTTTTAAGCACAATACCACTTTTTGAATTTAAGTGCAACCCAGGAGCTACCTCAAAGAAAATAAAGAAGGAACAGTAACCACAAACCCAAACACCCTTGCCCCGCTCATTCCATCCCCCCTCCCTCCTTCCCCTGGACAGACTCAGGGCTTGGGCTAAGGAGTTCTGTGGGGAAGGAACTCTGGGCTGAGCCTGTGGTGGGGGTTGGGGTGCAGGCTCTGAGGGAGGGAGTTTCAGGTGCAAGAGGGGCTGCAGGCTCTAGGAGGGAGTTTGGGTGGGGGGCTTGGAGTGCAGGAGGAATTTGGCCAGCATGTCCAGCAGCAGCTCCTGGGTGCAGAAAGAGAGGCAGCTCAGCACACTACCCTTGTCTGCAGGCACCACCCCCGCCACTCCATTGGCTGCTGTTCCCCATTCCCAGCCAATGCAAGCTGTAGAGGGTGGTGCCAGCAGACAAGGGCAGCATACAGAGACTCCCCCAAGAGCTGCCTCATAGGACTGTTAGTGACCAATCTCCCGGTTTGGCTGCAGAAGGGTTGGCAACTCTAGACTAAGATCAACTGTCAAAGGCTCCATGATCACAATCTACCAGTTGGCAATCACTGATCTAGATTGAACCACAACTTTAGGTTACACACTGCCTATGGAAAATTCCACCAGAGGTAGGACTAGGGTTGCCAGCCCTCCAGGATTGTTCTGGAGCTTCCAGGAATTAAAGATTAATTTTCAATTAAAGATTTTTGTGTGATGAAACCTCCAGGAATAACCAACCAAAACTGGCAACCCTAGGACTGGTCCTGTGTATGCTGTCCACAGTTTGAGTGGGTTGTCAACAGAATTGAGGAATTTAGAGAAGCAGCTGTGTTAGTCTGTATCCCTAAAAAGAAAAGGAGTACGTGTGGCACCTTAGAGATTAATAAATTTATTAGAGCATGAGCTTTTGTGAGCTACAGCTCACTTCATCGGATGCAAACTTACGCACTAATAAATTTGTTAGTCTCTAAGGTGCCACAAGTACGCCTTTCCTTTTTTTTTTTTTTAGAATTGAGGAAGTTACCTAGCTAGACTAGCGTAAACAAAGTGCTATTTAAACAGTTACTTAATGGGCAGGATAGTTCCCCTTCCTGAGCCAACAAACTACATTAAGGTTATTTCTGCAGTTCTACTATTTAACATGTGTTAGGAAGCCTGCACCTGGGCTGAAATTCTGATGGCTTAAGACAGTTTCAGGTGGCCTAGTTTGCACTTTGAAGTTCCTCTCTCCTCTTCAGAGAGGCTTATTTACACAGCTGTTGCCTTGGAAACAGAACAAGTAACTGGGCTAAAGTCCCTTCATGAGTGAACAGCACAAGCAAAATTGGAACCTGCACCCTTCCTAAAAGGAACTCCATTGCTTTAAGCACAACTGCCCTTGTAACTGCTACTGTGATTGGCTGTTAGTAAAACAGCTTGCCGCAGAAATTCAAAACGAAACCCAAAATTCAATTTAACAGGCATGGCCTGAGTCAGAATAAAGCATTTTCTAACAGATGACTGAAGACAAAACATCCACAGTCGTAGTTGGAGACTTCAACTGGCCATATCACAGGGCCCGTTCCTTATACGAATTACATCACTGAATCACAACACTATTGTGTGCGCTCGGGTGAAAATAGGAGCTGCCCTATTAAGGGACATTCTCATGGCAATTATGGCTTTTAGTTTTGTTTAAGGAAAAACAAGACACATTATGGCTTGAACACCATGTGCAGCTGCCATTCAATCAGCACAGAAACAGTGAGGCTTGTGATTGTACGAAGAGCTTCAACTCTAGTGTAAGGCAACCCCAGTGTGGCACCAATACGTTCACTACGTGGAACCCCTGATCCAAGGGTGAAGTTTCCTCTGAAACGCTTTGGGAGGAGTTAGGAGGTCTCAGATGCCAGAATACTTGGTTACCATCCCCACACTAAATTTGCTACCCCCATTTTCTAGCGGAAGTAGTTGGGACAGTCATGTGTTACTAGGTGCCAGGCTCTATCAAATGCTTCCACCACAGCTGGGAGCAGAGGGCCCTCTTCACTGCACGTGAGGTTCTGCTGCAGCTGATCCATGTTGGACATCCCAATGATCACTGCATCTCCAAGGGCACCCTGCAGTGGAAAGGGAGGAGTTTACCTTATAGGAAAAGCAACTTGTCTCCCATCTTGTAACAAACATCAGACTTCAGCTCTGTTCGTCTTTCAGCTGAATGTTGCTCTTTGGCAACTACTGGATATTTGGGGAAATATGTCGTAACTGCAGTCCTGTTAACAAGGCCAGAACTCAGTGTGCTGTCCCTGCCTCCAAGTCTCGCCAGTCCCTCAAAGGCTGCCGATTCATGCTCTGTGGGTGGCCAGAGGGATGGGAAGAGAACATAACCATTAATTTCCCAGCCATATGAAAAGCCAGTTTATCACCTCATGAGGAAGTGGCTGAGAAAAGTCAAAACTAGAGCGACTAGCCTTTAACATCTTCCACTTTCCTTCAGGCCATGGAGACAAAATACAGAAGGAAGTGTAGAGCTGATTCACTTCTATAGTCTACTGTGTGCAGCAGCCTGGCATTGGAAGACCAGAGAAATGTTTCAAAAAGAACAGAGCAGTAGGGTCTGAGTGGATTAAATGACAGATTTCACTGCTGATGTACTGCAACTGGAAAAGCCAAAGAAATCCAGTTGCAGCGTTAGAGTTCTGTTGTACATACCAGCTGTTTATGTTAAAGTCAAGCAATTACCTGAAGTTTGGAGTGGTTGTACATCCAGCGTAAAGCAGCTGAAGTTAGGCTGGGGGGGTTAGAGCCGTAAGCCTCCCCTAATGCTTTCTCTACCTGGGCAATGGCTTGGAAATGGTGCTCCTTCCAGTATCTACAGCAAAGGAGACATTAATGGAGCATTAATTTTACTGACTCAGCTATCTCTGGCTTCCTCTTATGACAAACATGGATCCATACTGCAGGCAAGAGAACAAAGGGGCATTAAGGTCAAAGACTAGTGCATGTACCCAGTGCAGCCCTTATGGCCTATGCTGCCCAAATGGTTTTTGGGTGATCCAAAAGGCAACCTCCCTAGAGATCAGAGATGCTGCAGTCACTGTTTAACAAGCATAATGTTGCCTCTTGAGGCTTCAGTCTCAGTAACTTATTTCATTGGTGTGGAATTTAAATTTTTGTTTTAGATAGCTAGTATAATAGATTGTGTAGATACAGCAAACAAGTTCACAGCAGCCGGCTCATGCCCCTGCGTCCTTTCAGATACCAGACCATTAGTGTACTAAGTATGCACTAGATGTTAGATGGCTAGCTAGAAAAACCTGACTACTTTTTGTTGTTCTTGTAGGCCTTTCATCAAGAGCTGAAAGCACTTTGCAAACATTCAGCTTCAGCCTCCTGTATGGGAGGTCAATATCCCGCATCTCACAAACAGGGAAACAGCTATTTAAGTGATTTTTGCAAGGGCACAGAACAAGTTGGTGGCAAAGCTGGAACTAGATTAGTAGTTGTCAACCAGGGGTCTGGGGCCCCCTCGGGGCTGTGAGCAAGTTTCAGGGGGTCCGCAAAGTAGGGCCAGCATTAGAGTCACTGGGGCCCTCGGCAGAAAGCCAAAGTCCCGTTGCATGGGGCTGAAGCCCAGGGCCCTAACCCTGCCATCCGGGGCTGAAGCCGAAGCCTGAGCAATGTGGCTTCACGGGGGCTCCTGTGGCATGGGGCCCGAGGCAGCTGCCCTGTTTGCTACCCCTCACACCAGCCCTGGCTTTTATATGCAAAAAAAACAGTTAATGTGGCACAGGTGGGCCATGGAGTTTTTATAGAGTGTGTGTGTGTGGGGAGGGGGGCTCAAAAAGAAAAAGGTTGAGAACCCCTGAACTACAGTATAGAAAGCACCCCTGCTGTAATAAAGACACCACACTTGTTCTCTTTACAATCATTAAACCATCCCTCTATTTAACAAATTCCCACCACCCGAGTGCTGCAGGGGACCGCCAAAGAGTAACTGAGGGAGATCACCTGCCTGCGAGCATCATCACTGAACAGACTTCAGTCATTTGTATTTTCTCCTGCATCTTCACGTGGTGATTCATCTAGGCCGAATCAAAGGTAACATTCTAGCCCAGGGATTCTCAATCCTTTTTCTTTCCGAGGCTCCCCCAACGAGCTATAAAAACTCCACGGCCCACCTGTGCCACAGCAACTGGTTTTCTACATGTAAAAGCCAGGGCCAGCATTAGGCAGTAGCAATCAGGGCAACTGCAGGGGGCCCCACGCCACAGGGAGCCCTGCAAAGGTTAGTTGCTCAGGCTTCAGCATCAGCCCCGGATGGCAGGGAGCAGGGCCCCGGGCTTCAGCCCCATACGGTGGGGCTTCATATTTCTGCCCTGGGCCCCAGCAAGTCTAATGCCTGCCCCGCTTGGCGGATCCCCTGAAACCAACTCGCGGCCCCCGGGCCCCTGGTTGAGAACCACTGTTCTATCCTCAGGAAAGGTCCATCTCTCTGCCATTCTACCATCTGGAAACTTACCTGTCCCTGTAGGTCTGTGCCCAATCATTTCCAAAAAACCTGCCAGTCGGTTGGCCTGTGTCTTTATCGTCATACTTGTACTTCCCTGTCAGCAGCCCTCCTGCAGGGGTTCAATGACATGCTATTGTTAATGGCCAGGATTTTGTGGTGGATGGAATTTTACAGCCTGCAAAAAGTACTGTAGCCTTGTATACCCCATGACCTCCTGCAGCTCTGTACACAGGGCCTCTCCTGCAGCCCAGGCATAAACCCCAGGATGGGACAGGGCAAGAAGAATTGAAATGTAGGGTGTAAAAACTCCACCTATTCAGCTCTGACCAACAGAACGAGCCCTTTATGGTGAAGGGGCCCTCTGCCCTAGTAAGGGCCCTGGTAAGGCAAGATGGGCTTCTTGGCATCAAGACACTTGAGTCATTACAGCTGTTGTTTTACTTTGTGTAAATATCTCTTATGAATCTAGTGTTGGGGAAAGGTGCCAGCTTGGCAGACCTGAAAACAGATGAATACAGCATGGGTAGCCTCTGCCTTGGCCTGCAAAGGATCAGCTTTCATGGCCCAATTCAATCCTTCATCTCTGCTGACAAAGGGCCTGTTTGTAAGGGTGGCATACAGACATACAGGTAAACTAGGAAAGGATGGGGATCAGCTCATTCAATGGAGACTTACAGGTGGAGGGCTCTATAGCTCATTATCTGTCCCGTCCCCTGAGCCACCCAGTCACCCCACCGCCACCATTGTTATTCACTTCTAAGCCCACTGTTAGTGGTGGCAGTTTGGCTGAAGTGGAGGGAGCCCTATTCAGAGGGGGGCAGGCCAATGTCCAGCCTATTTTTGTTTTGTTTGGTTTGGTTTAATTCCCTCCTGCCACCCACCCCATTTAGCAGACCCTTCCTCCTCACCCTTGCCCAGCTCGTACCAGCCAAAGGATTGTAGGCATAGAACCGCATTCCACAGTGTCTAAGGCACGGCAACAGCTCGGTTTCCACTTGGCGAGTGGTTGCATTGTACATGCCCTATAACAAATAAGAGCACTTAGAACTTCAGAGTAGGGCCTGGCTAGCTTATGGGGTGCTAATACAAGAGGAAGGGCTCCCTATTTGATGGTGAGAATCCAGAAGGCTAATAATGATCCACATGTGTTGCCATCTGATGGCTATTTGGCCACCTATATGAAGTGGCTCAGTCCATCCCTAGTGGAACACTGTTGGCACCATTTACCTATACTCCTGACATGCCCATCACTGCCCTGCCCCTGATCACCATGGGCGCCTGAGTGAACTGCAGCCTCAAAGCTGCACACAGATTTTAACTTCCCACAACCAACTGGACCTGATTTAGTACTGACAATTTCACAGCCACATGTCCGCAGGGCAAATTAACTAACATTCAGAAAAATGTGGTTCTGCTTTTTCTTTCACCTTGCCTTGTCTACAACTATTCAGAGATAAAACCAAGTGCTCTGGATCAGTGCTCATGGCATTAGCAGGACTGTGCCTTTTGTATAGACAGGCATCTGCCCATGTTAACCCCTTCCAAACATCCTGAAGAAATGTGCGTCCCAGCAGCAAGTTCCTTTGCAGCAGTTATTTAACCATCATTGCATATGCACAGATTGACTCCCATTTAGCTCCATAATGTCTTTGCATTGCATTCAAATCAATAGTGCAAAATTCCAGTGGAGCTGGAATAGCCCTCTTCCTCCTCCTCCATGGATACATTTTGTGCCCTATGAAAGGAGTCAGAACAGAGAGTCCCCAGGTCACACTAGACTGGTGCCTGCTGAAGAATGGATTTCCTGGATCATTGTATGGAACTGATAAACATTACTATCAGTTTCACATCCAGGAAATTGCTGGAACAAATGACAGACATGTATCCTCTTAACTGCGTCTGAGTAGCGACCTCACTTGGCTTTCTAATTGCACTTGTCCAAAAAGGTCTTACCAGACTAAATGAAACATCTTTTTGTTCAATGTTTGTAGAGCAACTTGCACAACAGGGTCCCAACCTGAGACATGGGCTCCCAGAACCTACCACAATACAGCGACAGGTTCCCAGCACTCTTGCAACAAGAATAGAAGTTTGTGACTTTTGACTTGCTTAGGCTTTCCAAACCACCCAGTAAGACTCTACAGCTCCAATTTTCCCAGTAGCTGCCCTCAGTGGGTGACGCTTCATGAAATCATTCTGGAGAAGGAGTAATCCCCACCTGAACAGCACTGGGACAGGTGCCTCTAGCTCCAGGTTGGGTAAAAAGGGACTAGAGCTGCAGGAGTCTGTGCAGCATCAGGTAGACCATATTAAATCTGCAACTCTCACCTGATACACAGTTGGAAGCACCCAGTTGTTGTACTTGCAGATGGTATAGATTTCTGCCACCTCCCAAGCTGCATAGTTTGACAGACCAAGCTCCTTAAACTTTCCCTGTAGAGGAATACAGAGAGTATTTAATCCCAGTCTCTTGCAGCATGTATTTACACACACAGTTTAAGATTAACATAGTGAAACAGACTGTCAACTGATTTTAGTCCCCAAATTAGTTTTCCTTTTTTGATCACCCCTTCTCCAAATGGGGATGACTTACGAGACTCAATAGGAATAAAAATGTTTCCTTTGTTTTGTTTTAATTAGAAGGCCTGGATTTACATCCTTTTAAAACTCATTTCCCTACCTGTTAATGCCAAACATAGCACAGGACCAATTTGCAGGAGGCAAAGATCAGAAATCCTAAAGCTTGTTAGAACTTATGAGATCTTATTTATGGTACTAAATGATTCACCTGGAGATACTATATGGTACCAGCTGTTTATACCTTACACGAGCCATTGATTTTTCTTCTCCCTGCCTTGTGGAACTCTGCCCCCTCACCACTGTACTCACACCACCCCCTGCAATGGAAAGCAGGAGAACACACAAATAAACCGAGATAAAACAAAACAAAAACCAAGTGGACAAAGTCACAGGTTTAGGCCTCTGCCTTTACCTCCTTGTATAGCTCATTGCAGGCATGTAGTGTCTGTTCCACAGGGGTGTTGTGGTCAGGGGCATGGAGATAGAACAAGTCTACGCTCTTCATCTGTAACCTCTCAAGGGATGTCTCCAGCTGAGACCTGACACTCTCAGGCTTCAGAGTCTTCCCCTCCCATGGATTGGCTTTGGTTGCCATCTTCACTAAGACAGAGACAGAACCAGATTGAAAATAACCAATTCTGTATTTCATCTTTAGTAACCAGGGTGAAGGAAGGATAGGGATAAGGAGTGGGCACAAGCCACTTAAAATTAATGCATAACATGGTACAAGCTTACAGACGCCCCAGGCAAGACTGGTAACATCTGCAAATTGCGGTACACAAAGGGAAAGCCAAATTAATAGGGTTACAGAATTGCTAATGCTTATCTAAATATCCAAAAACGGGAACAGGTAAAATCCTAGAGGCCCAATCCAGCTATCTACACAAGTTCTCTCATTAGTCTTCTTCGAAGGGCTGGGTGGTCACAGTGGCTGTAACAGTTGTTTTCCCCTTACCCCAGTTCACTTGATGTATAGGGCATAACTCGTTTATTTCAGAGTCAGTCCAATGGATCCCTGCTTCCCCACAATGGAGCACAAAATTAATCTGTAGTTTAGACTGTACACTCTCCAGAGTAGGGACTATGTCTTCATGTGTACAGCAACTAGTACAATGATCCTAAATGTAGCCCTTGCATACTACTAGAATACAGATATTGTATAACGACCACTATTCTGTACCCAAATATGGCTGCGCAGTTAGGCACCTAAATCTTGTCCAAGCCAAATGCATCAAGTAAACAGCATCAGTGGTGATTAGATTTTAAAGGGATTTTTCCCTGCAAACATTAAAGTGTTCCAGTAACACAGATGAGCAGTTGTTTGGAGAAACACAGTTTTTACAGGACCTTCAAAGTGAACTCTGTCACCACCTCACGCAGAGCACACTGGCCACGAGACTCATGAGTGCAAAGGGCAAAATAAAGCCTAAAGATAAGGGAAAGGGCAATCGAACAAGCGACCAGAGGAGTGACACCTGGCTCCAGTCTGGGGAACCTGACAATGTTGAGTGCTTTGGGGTTCTCCTGGGTGTGCAGCCGCATAAACGCCAGTCAGCGCTGTGCCCTCTGGTGGAGAGGCCAAGGAGTGGGATGAAGGAGGGAGACAGTGTGTCCACAGAGACAGGCCTAGGTGTTTGGCAGTTCCCAATGCTCTAAAACAACGAGGAATCCGGTGGCACCTTAAGGACTAACAGATTTATTTGGATATAAGCTTTTGTGGGTAAAAAAACCCACTTCTTCAGATGCATGGAGTAAAAATTCCAGATACAGGCAGAAATATGTATTGGCACATGAAGAGAAGGGAGTTACCTTACGAGTGGAGAACCCAATACTCCCTTCTCTTCATGTGCCAATATATATTTCTGCCTGTATCTGGAATTTTCAGTCCTTGCATCTGAAGAAGTGGGGTTTTCACCCATGAAAGCTTATACCGAAATAAATCTGTTACTCTTTAAGGTGCCACCAGACTCCTCATTGTTTTTTGTGGATACAGCTTAACACGGCTACCCCTCTGATACTTAATACCCTGACTGTTACCACACACACACACACACCCCCACACACATACCCGTAGGCTCCTGGAAGCCGATCTCTCTACCCAACAGCCCACATTTGCGACCCCAGCAATGTCCCTTCTCCCCTCAGCATGTGGGAGGGGGAGACCCTAGACTGCTCCCCCCTGGGGAGCAGCCCAGGTAAAGGAGATGGGACTCCACCGGCTTCCCCTGGAATGTGGGGAATCCAGGCTCCCTGCTCCACTGACTGCCCATGGGGGGAGGTATTCAGCAGGGGCAGCTCCTGCTCCCCCAAATACCCCCCCATGCCCACGTCTCCACACACACACCATGCCCTACTCCCCAGACCCTCTTACACCACCCCCCACCCTCTTACCCCATCCTCATGTCCCACCCCCCGTGCCCACCTCTCCAGCCCCCCACCCTCTTAGCCCCTTCCCCGTCCCACCCCCCCAAGCCCACCTCTCCAGCCCCCCCGCCCTCTCTTAGCCCCTTCCCCAAGCCCAACTCTCCAGCACCCCCCATTTGTTACCCCCCATGCCCAGCTCCCCAGATCCTCTTACCCCACCCTCTATGCCCACCTCTCCAGCCCCACCCCACCCTCTGACGTCCTCCCCACACACCCCCGTGCCCAGCCCCCTCTTACCTCCTATGCCATGCCCCGCCCACCTCTCCAGCTCCCCCCGACCCCCTCCCCCGTGCCATGCCCCGCCCACCTCTCCAGCTCCCCCTAAACCCCTCCCCCCGTGCCATGCCCCGCCCACCTCTCCAGCTCCCCCCCGACCCCCTCCCCCCGTGCCATGCCCCGCCCACCTCTCCAGCTCCCCCCGACCCCCTCCCCGTGCCATGCCCCGCCCACCTCTCCAGCTCCCCCCCGACCCCCTCCCCCCGTGCCATGCCCCGCCCACCTCTCCAGCTCCCCCCCGACCCCCTCCCCCCGTGCCATGCCCCGCCCACCTCTCCAGCTCCCCCCGACCCCCTCCCCCCGTGCCATGCCCCGCCCACCTCTCCAGCTCCCCCCGACCCCCTCCCCCCGTGCCATGCCCCGCCCACCTCTCCAGCTCCCCCCGACCCCCTCCCCCGTGCCATGCCCCGCCCACCTCTCCAGCTCCCCCCCGACCCCCTCCCCCGTGCCATGCCCCGCCCACCTCTCCAGCTCCCCCCGACCCCCTCCCCCGTGCCATGCCCCGCCCACCTCTCCAGCTCCCCCCGACCCCCTCCCCCGTGCCATGCCCCCCCACCTCTCCAGCTCCCCCCGACCCCCTCCCCCGTGCCATGCCCCGCCCACCTCTCCAGCTCCCCCGACCCCCTCCCCCGTGCCATGCCCCGCCCACCTCTCCAGCTCCCCCTAAACCCCTCCCCCGTGCCATGCCCCGCCCACCTCTCCAGCTCCCCCCGACCCCCTCCCCCGTGCCATGCCCCGCCCACCTCTCCAGCTCCCCCCGACCCCCTCCCCGTACCTGCGGGCCCGTCGCCGCCCGCCAGCAGCGCCCCCAGGATGCGCTCGGACGCGCCCCCCCCGTACATATGGGCCGTGTCCAGCTCCCGGTGCCCCCGCTCCAGGAAGGCCCGCAGCAGCGCCCCGCTCGCCTCCTGGTCCGTGCGGCGCCCGAACTCCATGGTGCCCAGCACCGAGGCCGGGCGCCGGGCCGGGCCGCCCAGGGACTGCACCGACTGGGCCATGGCGGAGCGAACGCGGCGGAGCGGCCTGACCGCGACCTCAAACCGCCGCAGCGCGAAGAGCATTCTGCTGCGCATGCGCCCCTGAGCCCGCCCTAGGGAACGAGAGGAAAGGACTCACGGCGCCAGCGGGCGCTAGGGACCGTCTCCAAATTCCCACCCGAGTGACAACGCGTTGTTCACTAGAAAGGAGCGGGGCCGGCTCACTGTGAACCGATACGTTCCCCTAGTCAATGGCTTCTGTCTTGTGTGCCCAATAGCTCCCTCTCTGTCCCTGGTGGTTGCAAAGGAAACGTCCCCAATGTAAAGTGAGTGTGAACTGATGCTGTGATGGTTGCCTGAGTCTGCAGGCAGCCTGAAACAAAGGAGAGAGGTGTGAACTGCCCCAGGCACCCCATTGGGGGCTTTAGCCCCAAACGCTAACGAAGACTATGTCTTCTCTGCAAAAAGGTGTGTTTTTACAGGCCCTGGAGTTGGGGGCTGGGATGAGGAAACCAAAAAGCTTTTTCTCTGTCAGCTGCCAGGGGATGGAGCTTCACATTTATCAGACACCTGTAAGCCAGTGGCTGATACAACAAAGAGAGCCCCAACTGGGTCCAGGGACAGCACCCTGGTAATAAACCAAGCACCCTTCCCCTCCCAGCACTTAGAGGTTGTTGAGCAGGGCTTCTTGCCAGGGTGTTGTCCCTGGACCTGTTTGATGGCCTCCACCCCTGTCACATTTCATATTTATGGCTAGTTAATAGGTTTGGTCCCCCTGATCAGAGCAGGTCTAGATGGCACATGGTCAAAAGCGTAAGGGCCTAGTGCTCTCACTGCTCCTATCGTTGGTTGAGCTGCACTGGTGCTATAGAACATGGGGAAGAATTAAGGAAAAACCTCCACGCACGCAGACAAGGCCCCCATTGTGTGTAGTTCAAATCCTTTTAGCCCCAAAGAGACTCCTTTTAGGATACTGGGGGGGGGGGGGGCAGAGAGGGGGAAGAGAACTAGTCTTTCCGTAAATAGCATGTGGGGACGGGAAAGGAATGAGTCCCTGGATTTTTCTTCCTGGGCCATTACTGTCCCTAGGAAGGTTTGTGGGCCTAGGCCTGGGGACAGGGAGTTTATTACACCCATGGGTGAATTGTGTGCTGGCAATGGTGGCACTATTGCCCTAGGAGCCGGTATATGTGTGGGGTTATTGCCTCTGGGGGTGTAACTGCACCCGGGGGGGTATTGCCCCGGGAGGGGATCTATGTGCCCTGGGCGTGTGGGTTATTGCCCCTGGATGGGGGTAATTGCACATGAGGGGGCTATTGCCCCAGGGGGACTAAATGTGGCCTGTCTGGTGGGGGCTATTGTCCAAGGAGGGGATCTATGTGCCCTGGGGGTGTGGGTTATTTTCCCTGGAGGGGATCTATGTGCCCTGGGGGTGCGGGTTATTGCCCCGGGAGGGGTAACTGCACAGAGGGGGGCATTGCCCTGGGAGGGGGGGGTATGTGAGCCCCGATTACTGCCCCCGCACGGGACCCGTGTGCCCCGGGGACCCTGCCCGGCGGGCGGCTCTGGGCGGGCGGGCAGGGAAGCCGGCGGGTCACATGACCGCGCCTGACAAAGAGCCCGGGACGGGCGGCCGCGGGCTACGGCGTCTCTCGCTCCGCCCGCCCAACCCCGCCGGGGAAGCCGCCGAGAAGCCCGGAGCCGGAGCCGGAGCGGTGAGAGGGGCCCCGGCGAGCGGCTGGGCTGGGGGCGCGGCGGGCGGAGGCCTGGGGGGGGGGGTGTCTGGGAGACGCTGCGCGGCCCCTCGGCCCCGGCCCCGCCGAAGCTGGCGTTCGCGTCCCCCCCTTTCTTCTCCGCCCGGCGCCCCCACCCCAACGAGCACAAGTTCCGGTCCTAACCCTGCCCGCCTTTGCCTCCGGCTGCGTCAGAGAGCGAGTGGGGCGGCGGGCGGGGGGGGAGCAGCGTCATTATCCCCAGATTGGGGGGGGAAACTGAGGCACGGGACATGGTTGGCTCAAGGTCCGTCAGTGACCGTGCGTAGGGACAAGAACCAGGTCTCCTGATGCTGGGCTGCCTATTGCGTAGGGCTCAAAGGAGGAAACTCAAGAGAACTCTCCCCTGTTTCCCAGTGAAGAGCCCCCTTGTCTCTCTCCACCCCCTTTGCAGGGTTCGCTGGATGGTCTCTTCCCCTGTCCCATGGTCGTAGTTGGGACTGGCACCTTGCAATGCCCGGGCACAGGAGAGACTGAAGTAGATTGAAGGGTTGAGTGCGGGAGAGCTTTCCCCACACTAGGCAGAAAGAAGGAGAAGCAGCTGCAAGGGTCCACTGCTATCCCAAGCCAGGGAGAGACTGTACTTTTTAAGCCTATCTCCCACCCTGCTCCTCCTTATTTTAACCCCTGGACGTCATGGGATAGCCAACTGCATTAGCATTGTGGGTTGTTTACAAATGTACTGTTAGCTACAGTGCTGAACAGTCCGGACTGGACTCTAGCTCAGAAAGCTGATCCTGAAGTGTTTAATTCAATGGAAAGTCCTGGAAAACCAAATAAATAGAAACTACTGTTAACACAGGAAAAGTGTGCCCTTCCCACCCGTGATGGGGAACGATCTGTGGCTGAGAGAACTGATGATCGAACACAAGGGTTCTCAGATTTTTGTACTGGTGACCCCTTTCACACAGCAAGCCCCTGAGTGTGACACCCCCCCCCTTATACATTAAAAACACTTTTTAAATATATTTAACACCATTCTAAATGCTGGAGGCAAAGCGGGGCTTGGGGTGGAGGCTGACAGCTCATGACCCCCCATGTAATAACCTCGTGACCCCTTGAGGGATCCCGACCCCCAGTTTGAGAACCCCTGATCTAACAGGACTTCAACTGCTATCAACTAATATCCCAACATAATGATGTTTCTCATAGGCCCTTAAACTGACATTTGTGGGCCTGTGGTGGCTGGGAAATGGGATGAACTATAGTATAGTATGGTCACCCACATTCTAGGATGGGTGATGAGCCCTCTGTCCCTTTGTGCAAAATGCCAATATGGAGTGCGCATTTTGCCTACCTGCAGAATCTTGCACTAGTATTTCTGCCCTGGACCTGCTTTACTAGGAAATACCTAGTGTTCCTGGAAGCACTTGGCACAATTGTAGATGGGAGAAGACAGCTCAGAAGGAACAGGATAAGAGATTTCCACCATTATGGGAAGACCAGAATGACTTGAACCTCCTTTCCCAATTTACTAGTATTTAATAACCTCTCTTTGCCCCTCCCCGCCCCTTCATCTACACCAGAATTTTATTTAACGAAAGATTAACCTAGAAATACAATCAATTGCTATGTTTCATTTTGCTTTAAGGTTACTTTTTCCTGTCACTGTGAGGTGCTTGTGGTTTGGGAGCTTATTGGGCAGTTCTGAATCATCAGACATGATGCTGTTGAAGTTTCAGGTATGCTTGTAGCTTGGGAGGGGAAGTATTATGACAGTGCAAAGGCCGCCCTTGCAGTGTAGAGGAGAGCCAAGTCTCATTAGACCCCATGGAGCTGTGATTAAACTGTGGCAATGTCGGCATCATAGACTTCTGTCAGTACCAGTTGGTACCTCCCCTTTGCAGTTACTATGTTTTCCTCTCTTACAACTGAATCTTTGCTTGATAGATCAGGTGTAGGCCTGGGACTTAAGAGATCTGGCTTCTGTGACTGATTGGCTTTGAACAAGCCCCTGAGACTTGGTTTCAGTTTTCTCATCTGTAAAATGGGAATAGCAATCTCACAGGTATTTTTGAGATTTAATTTATTTTTGTAAAGTGCTTTGAGCTCTTCTGATGGAAGAAGAGTTAAGGGATCATTATTAAGTGGGTCGCTGTTGGCACATAATGATCAGCTGCTATGCACCTTCTGCTCATGGGGTGTAATTTAAGTCTTCTGTGAGTGTGTTTGTAAAGCATTACAAACACCATGCTAAATGAACTGAGGAGGTACCTCAGCTGTGTATGAAATTGAGACCTTGTGGTTAGTCATTCAGGCTTACAAAGGGTAGCCAAAGTGCAAGTTTCAGCTGCTGTACTTCAAGGAACAACTTTAGGGGTTTGTAACAGAGCCCTGCTTGGCTTGGGCATAGTGGTAATAAGAAATGGAAACTTTTCTGACCAGCATCTGCAGCTGAGTAGAGTTGACAATGCACAAATGTATTGGCACCAGCTTCACCTGATCTCATGTCTGGAGTTAAATCTCTAAACTCTGAACAAAGATCCTTTCACAAAGGTATTTTGGCTGGAGAAGTCATTGTCTCTGTCCTCCTTGGGTAGTGTGTAGGTAAAGCTTTGGGTGCATCTCAGTAGCTTGCCTGGCAGTAGATTGCTCTCAAAATACTGAAAACATTTCAATCTACAATCATTTCTCAGAAAAGGAAGGGGAGAGTCCTGCTTCCAACATAAAATCTGGAGGGAGAGAATAAGCCTACCTCTTTTCATTGTCAGAACACACTATCCCCACTAGTCAGTGGAGATCTGAGTTAGTGCATGTAGCTAGCCTACATTAATTAAGATATGCTGGGGAGTTAGTGGAAGAAAAGAGTTCCAACGGAAATGTCTCAGAATTCCTAACTGTGAAATTTTCACCTCCCCCTGTTGCTTTTGGCGGTGCAGGAGCAATTTCTGTGTGATCGATGCACAATAGGGACCAGCTCTCCACAGAGTATGTGATAACAAAATACAGTAAAAGCTGTTTTATCCAGCACTTCCCCAACCGGAAAGCTCTATAAACCAGCATTTCTGATCTTTGTTGAAATTCCAGTTCATAGCCCACTTGGCGTGGGGCCAACATGGGGTTGGGACGCCGGAGGAGATGTGGAGCAGGGGCTCTGGGAGGGAGTTTGGGTGCGGGAGGGGACTTGAAGCAGCGGGAGGGGGTGCAAGGTACCAGATCTGGGAGGAGGGCACTCAGGCGGCTCCCCACAAGCAGCAACCTGTCCCAGCTACTCCTAAGCGGAGGTGACTCCATGCGCTACCCCTCTCCACCCTGAGTGCTGAATTGCCTTCAATGAAGAGAAGGCAATTCAGGTGTTCTGATTTGAAAATGAGACTCTCTAGCATGAGTTTCTGCACAGCCAGTCAACCAGGCCAGCCTGACAGATTAGCAGGTGTCTGGTTCAGTTTTTAAAAAAAAAAACAAACCCAGCCCTTTGCTTTTTCTTTTCTCTGCACTGACTCTTCCTTTGGAAGGAAAATAAATGAGGTCCTAGGGAGTAGGAGGAAGAAATAAATATTCTGTAGCTGCAAAGGGGCCCCCTTGCTGTCTTACTGCATCTCTTATTCAGTCATTACTGATGAACACAGGTGACCAGGGCCAGATGATCTACTTCCTACAGTCACCGACTCTCCTAAAAATCTGTTTTAAAGACCCACTCTTGAGCATTTGCTTTGGTGAGAAGCACAAGCTGAGCAAGGGGATGTGTGTCATAATCCTGTGGGCTGCTGGAAAGACATGCCACGTAGACCTTACGTTTGTTTATAGTGAACTTAGTGCTGGGTTAACAGTTCTGGAGACTGGCCTGCTGATAAAGGAATTCAGTCTGTGACTACCTCTCCACTAGGCCACTAAAGGCCCATGAGATAGTGACTGTTTAATTGCAAGATGAGCCAGCTTTAAACCAACAAACTAGCCTTCAAAGGAGCCATCTGGTCCCTTGTTGTTGTTAATAAAGGCTCTTTCCTTCTCCCCATTTATTCCAACAGGTTCAGTGTCTGGCTCTGGATAAAGATATCCCTCCTGCTGTCTGACCACTGCAGCCTCCTTCCTCAAGGGCAGGCTGGCCCCTTGCTAACGGTGCTATGGACTCACAGCTTTGGCAAGGTTCCTTAGGAGGGAATTTCTCAGACTGTCCCAATGGCTCCCAATGGGTGTGGGATGTGTTCAGTGAGTGTGCCCAGGATATCCGGGACTTCGCCAGTATTGTGTTGGGTCTGGTTTCCATCTTCTGCTTTGCAGCGGCTTCCTTCCCGTAAGTAAGACTCTTATGCTGCCAGACCAGGTGCGTGTCCTGGATGCCCAGTGGAGGGGATTTTAGATCTGGCTGGAGTTTTGTCCTTCTCCATTTGTGATGGCTTCCAAAACATAAAGCCAGGAGCCCTCATTGGAGATCTTGAGCACAGCCACTTGACTGGTCTAAGGGCTGAGTTTAAAATGGGGAGAGGGCTAGTGGAGAAGGAATAGTAGTTCAATTTACAACTTCAACTTTGTCATCCACACAAAACAAGGCATAGTTCGTTGCTAATGCCGCTATATGCTGTTAAACAGCTGTAGTGTTCCGTCCACAAGGTAGGTGCATCTCAGTGGTTGAAGTGATTCCTTTATGTGTATTAGTTTGCATAACACTTTGGGCTCCTTCAGGATCAAAGCTGTTAAAAGGACAGACTGTAGATTGGATGGCACAAGGAAAATGCAGATGCTCTGAGAGCTTTTTCCATTTCTAAATATACAGTGAGGTTGTCTCACAATTAGAGAGGCAGTTACTCTACTGGAACTTCTGCTTATGCATAAATTGTGGTGAGCAAGTTAGCAGATCAGCAGTGTTTGTCTTTTTTTTGCCCCCCCCTCACCCATCAGACTGACTTGCAGATCACATGTGCAGAAAAACCTCTGAGGAAAGCAGTCTGGAGAGGCTGAGCTCAGCAGTCTCTTGGAAGATGAGTTTTGTCCACAGCCCACATGGAATGGGAAGGTGTGGGTATGGCTGGACTGCCATATTAGGGCTAACCCACTGTGACTGTTCCTAAACCAGGAAGTGACTCATTCTTGAGTTTAGGAATGCAATCCATCTGCATACAATTGATGAGCATGTCTGTTTCACTCTTGCTGCCCTAGACACCCCTATAAAAGGCACAACTGTCAGTGGGGAGATTTGGAAGTGGGTCAAGGCTGGGTGTTTGCTGTAACTGGAAGGCATGTGTCACTACCTTGCTGACTGGTTAAACCCAGTCTATCTGGCCATCAGCTTCCAGCTACCTGCTTAGCCCAGTTAGACCAGGGTGGGTAGTGACTGACTAAGCTAAATAATAGCTAGTGACTAATGGAAAGCAGTCTCTCATATTCTGCCCTCGTAAGGCAGGATCTCCAGGAAGGCATTGATGGCTCTGCCTCCCCCAATAGTTTAGTTCTTGTTTTTCAGTGGCGAGTTCTCTGCCCACCTGCAGGAGCAACTCTTCTCACTGCTTTCACATGTGGGGTTTTTTGCCTCTGTTCTAGACTTTCTATGAAGAGTCTGTGGCAGGTACTAAGTAGGGCAGAGCTAGCCTGCACTTACACTTTGAAGATCCAGGCAAATATCTCCCCATGTGTGCTAGGCACCCGGACAATGAACCGTTTTACAAAACCCAAATCCCATAATGGGCGAGATGCTACTGTTGCCAGTTAATCCATCAGGGACTATCAACACCACCCCCCACCCCATCCATTTTCACCTCCTAAGCTTCCTCTCCCATCCTGTTTTCCAGCTTTTGAGAAGGAAATGCCATCAGCACCTTGGAGAAGAGCTGGCACAATGGTATCTGATCACTCTGTCCTAGCATGTAGACTTCATCCCCTCTTCTCCCATTGTAGGTCCCCTGTCTTTAGAGAGACCAGTTTGTTCCTGGCCCCTATAGCACTGGTGCGGCCCCATCTCAGATCAGCTGTCACTCTTTCGGGGACTTGGAGGTCAGGTCAGATCTTGAAGTGATGCCAGCATCCTTGGCTAACAACTGCCCTCAGGGGAATCCATTCACCTCCCAAATCATTTTAAAGCTGTACTCTCCCTGCCCAAGGCCTGTTCTTGGGCTGCAAAACCTAACCAAGTGGGTGGGTGCCAATCAGTCCTCTGTGAGCAGGACACCTAACTAACATCTTATTCAGAACAAAAGCTGCCTAGGGAGGCAGCAGGAGTTGGACATGGCGTAGGGCAAATTAGCCCACCATCTTTCCATTGCCATTACCCAGTGGAATGAAGAGTGGAGACTCAGAAACATATCCAGGAAGGGATAGATGCTTCTCAAAGCATGAACTGAGCCAGGAGTGAACAGGGCATAACCCTCCCAGGCGCATTGGTGTCTGCTCCAGACCAACAGAGAAAGCATGGTGCAAAGAAGTGAGTTGTTTGGACAGTGACATCGAAGATATTGGAAGACATGCAAGGGATCTGATCTAGGCTCTGCCATGCCAACATCTAAATCCCTATTAAAGATCTGCTTTGGTCAGACTGCATATAGTTAATCAAGTTCACCTCTATATAAATTGCTTATTTCCTTTTCCCCAGCCTCTGTCTTTCCTCTGATAGTGAGCAGATTCGGAGCAGGGAGCACTCTTGGTCAGTGTTCCCTCTAATTTTTTCTGCACATAGAATCACAAAATCACAGAGTTGGAAGGGACCTCAGGAGGTCATCTAGTCCAACCCCCTGCTCAAAGCAGGACCAGTCCCCAACTAAATCATCCCAGCCAGGGCTTTGTCAAGCCTCACCTTAAAAACACATGTGTGGAATGACACATCACCTTCATATTGGTGCACATAACAAAATTCATGGGGTGGGGCTGAGGGGTTTGGAGTGTGAGGGGGGGCTCAGGGCTGGGGCAGAGGGTTGGAGTGTAGGCAGGAGGGTTCTGGCTGGGGGTGCAGGCTGTGGGGTGGGGCTGGGGATTAGGGGATCAGGGCTGGGGCAGAGCGTTGGGGTGCAGGGGGTGAGGGTTCCGGCTGGGGGTGCAGGCTCTGGGGTGGTGGGGTGGAGCCAGGGATGAGGGGTTTGGGGTGCAAGAGGGTGCTCCGGGACTCCCCCCCCCCCCCCCAAGCTCACTCTCCCTGCAGCAGCACCTGGGCTGGGGGTGGAGAGGCGCCTCTCCCCAAAGCAGTAGCTCTTGAGCTAGGGCTGTGGGATAGGCGGCCCGCCCCTGGCTGTGACAGGTCTGGGCCGGGGCTGGGTTCGGGCCCTCCCCCGGCTGCAGCAGGTCCAGGACTGAGTTGGGGAAGGGGCACCACAGCTGCGACAGGTCCTGGCTGGGGCTGGGTCACCCATCCCCCGGCCGCAGCAGGTCCGGGGCTGAGTTGGGGCCAGCGGAGGGGCCTGAGTGCCTGTGCGGCGCTAAATAGGCTGCTGTGTGGCCCCACGGCTGGCAGCTTATCAGGAACTTAGCTCTTGGTCATGTCTGGCAAGTGCCTAGCATATTACTTCAAATAAATAACTCTTCAATCAGAATAAAATACTGTGCTAAGCAGGGATACGCGCACAACACAACTTGATTTACAGTAAAGTGATCTAGCATTTTCCATCTCTAAAACGCTTAGCACAAATAGAGGGTGACCACCTGTTTTGAGGTGGTGGGAGACAGAAACGAGGATGCCTCTATCCTAATCATCCATACCGCTTCGAAACAAACCAAGGAGCTGTCTAAACTAGACGCTGAAGAGCTCAGGGCTCTTCTCGTACAAGTGGGAGTTTGCCCCAGTGTCCCTCCCCTTTCCCCTTGTTGCCCAGTGTGCTGCATACCTAGCCGCATTTCACAGGGGTTGTATTAAGTTTGGAGTGCCAGGGGCTATATGAGCCCAGCTCAGGGAACATTCAGTTACCTGCTGCTCCAGAGTCAGCCAGAAGAAGGCGCTTATGGCATTGGTTTGTGGATCCCATTTTAAAATAAATGGGGGTTCAGCCCATTGAGAGCCTGTTTGGGGAACAGGGGCAGGAGGTTCACCTTGTTAGAGGTGAACAGCCCATCAACCCAGCTGAAGGGTGAACAATGCTGCACTGGAAATCACATGGCGAAAAAACTACCAGGGCTGCTTAATACCTGGGGCTGCCTAGTGGAGGGGAAAGTTCTTGCTGCAACTTTCACTGTAGTGCCTGTTATCTGACTTTAATATTTCTGTCTGGATAGATTTAAGGGGGAGATGGGGACAGGCAGTCTTCTATGGTGGGCCTGAAAACCTGCCTTTTGCACATTGGGGTTTCTTTCCCTTCCACCCCTCTTGCAGCCACGCTCTGGGATGTCTGCCTTGAGTGACTTCCAGTTTCCATTGCGAAACGAACTCTTGAACCTACGCAGATTTGGCTGGATCAGCAGATTGTGTCAGCCAGACTTGCTGAGCTGATAAGTTACCCAGAGAAGAGTGAGCAGGAACCATGCTCTAGTCTGATGTGGATTGATGGGCTCCTCCTCCTTGGGGATTCTGATAGAAGCCTTTCCTATGTGCTGTGGGGCAGCTTAATAGGAACCAGTGTATCCCCAGGGCCAGCCCAGGAGAGTTCCAGCAGGTGGTTTGAATTGCAGATCACCTGCTGCTACTGCTGGAGATCGGGGATTGGGATCATCATCTGATGCAGTCTTAGCCTCTGCGGTGAAGCTCCAGATACTGTGAGTCAGACTGAGCAGGCTTTTTGCTGGCAGTGAACAATAGTTCTTCATCTCACAATAGGCAAATGCAGGGCAACCTGCTTTTTGAGAAGGTTGCCTATGATGGGAAGCGGTGGCACCTTGAACTTCCCCCTACTGCAAAGTACGGTAAACCTGTTCTCCATGCTGCCTCAGAAAGGGGGAGTGGCCATAGAGGTGTAGCCTGTGTCCCTTCTCTACATGCTGGCTTCGAAATTTGATCAGACCCAAAGCAGCATTGGTTGTGCCTGGCTTGTAAACTGAGACACCAAGACTTGTTTAAGATCATACAACGAACTGGTTGCAAAACGAAGAAGAGAAGCAGAGTCCTAGCTCTCAGGCTATTGTTCTAACCACTAGACCTAACATTTCCCTCGTGAAAGTGAGAGGTGGATAACATCATGCACAGTGCAGGCAGGTGGTGTGTAAGCATCTTCCCACACAACCCTGCCAATCCTCCTCCCGTGTGACTTGCACCACCCTTGATAATCCGGAGTTCTGACAGCCATGCCGTTGCTGTCTGCCAGACAGCAGGGTGGCAGGCAGCAGTCATGGGCTATGTGACTAAAGTGGTTCTGCTCTGGATTTCCCACAGCACAAAGGTGATGGTGTTTAACTTGTGGAGTGGAGAGAGTGAACTTTTGGATTAAGCCAGTTGATCTCCATACCCTCCTTCCCTTCCCGTGTCAGCCCTCATTAATAGTTGTGCCCTCTGGGGTTAGAGCAGCACTCATTGGTTGGTAGATCAGCAGAGCCAGCTTTCCACAGCCTCAACAAGGTCCAGATTAAGGGCACAAGAGGGGAAAAAATAGCCGTACTAGTAACGCCGATGACGTGGGGTTTCAAGGTTGTGCATTCTTGATGTATGTGACTTGCTATAATGTGGGCTGGGGCAGTGAGGGGAGGGAACCCACTGAAAGCGCTCCTTGCAGATCTTCCTGCTAAAACCACAGGTGAGTCAGTGCCTTCGGGCTTGTCTACATGAGGAAATTTACCAGCAGAACTGTACCGTAAAGCTAGACTGCAATAGTTTTGCTGGTAAATTTCCCTGTGTAGATAAGCCCTTAGCCTGGTACTGGTTTGTACTCCTCTGTGGAGTTTAAAAACTAACATAGCATCCAGATCATCAGGGGGTCCAACATTCGAGGAACCTCTGGCCTCTGCTCCACTGGGGTACTGGTGAATTGATTGTGTAGAGCTGACTTTCTCTCTCTCTCTCTCTCTCTCCACCTCCACAGACAATATTACCAGGCCTGTAAAACAGGTAATATGGACCAGGCTCTCTCCATATACTTCCTGCTGGGATGGCTAGGAGGAGATTCCTTAAATCTAATAGGCTCTTTCCTGGCCAATCAGTTGCCACTACAGGTAATGATTTAGGTTTTTCTGTGTGATTTGCGTTTTGGCTGGCAAGGAGTAGTGTCCTGATTCTCTGTGTGGGTGGTAGGGAGGAGAAAACCGAGCTCATTGGTATGACAGAGACTCCCTAGCCAGTGCTGTGTGTGTGTGTGTGCACATGTGTGTGGTGGGGGAGTGAGTGGAGTTAGGACACTTATTAAAAGAATGACCATGATTTGCTTGCTGTTCTTTTTTTAATAGGGCAAGATTGTTACAATAACTAGAGATGGGCCTGAGCCATGCAGTTGGGATCTGGAGCCAAAACTCTCCAATATGCAGGCGTGTCTGGCTCAGGGCTTTTGCTTCAGACCCTTCTCACTGTCTGATCAGTAAAGATCACCTTCTGATTGACAGAGGAGATATGACCCAGGATAGAGGCTGGTGTGCAGTCTGAGACTCTGGGTCTAGGCTCTGCCAGCGTCTTGCTCTATCCAGCATTACAGGCAGCTAAGATCAGCTGACTTACTTGCAAATTAATTTCTTGAGCACATGGGCAAGAAACGTCTCTTGCCCTGTGGATTTTCTGAAGGATGCACTGAACTAAAGAGAAGCCCCTGAGTTTCTGGAGGTTGTCTAGGTCATGGTTGTGGCCTGAGGGAAGGAGGTTTCACTCTGTAAGACCAAGAGATGTTCCAATGTCATGCATAGTCTGTCTCTCTCTGATTCATTTTCTTACAGGAGGGAAGGCTAGTTGGTGAAAATCCAGGGAAGGGCATCTTTTCTCCTGCTAGATCAGGGTGGTGAAAGTGGAGCCCCAGAGTTCTACATTATCCCCATTTTACAGATAGGGATAGTGATACTGACCTCCTTTATAAAGTGCTTTGAGCTCTACTGATGACAAGCACTGTGTAAGAGATAGGGATTGAGATGAGATTACTGGTTCTGTGGATGAAGGGAAAGCAGTGGATGTATTGTTTCTTGACTTTAGCAAAGCTTTTGACACGGTCTCCCACAGTATTCTTGTCAGCAAGTTAAGGAAGTATGGGCTGAATGAATGCTCTATAAGGTGGGTAGAAAGCTGGCTAGATTGTCGGGCTCAACGGGTAGTGATCAATGGCTCCATGTCTAGTTGGCAGCCGGTATCAAGTGGAGTGCCCCAAGGGTCGGTCCTGGGGCCGGTTTTGTTCAATATCTTCATAAAGGATCTGGAGGATGGTGTGGATTGCACTCTCAGCAAATTTGCGGATGATACTAAACTGGGAGGAGTGGTAGATACGCTGGAGGGGAGGGATAGGATACAGAAGGACCTAGACAAATTGGAGGATTGGGCCAAAAGAAATCTGATGAGGTTCAATAAGGATAAGTGCAGGGTCCTGCACTTAGGATGGAAGAATCCAATGCACCGCTACAGACTAGGGACCGAATGGCTAGGCAGCAGTTCTGCGGAAAAGGACCTAGGGGTGACAGTGGACGAGAAGCTGGATATGAGTCAGCAGTGTGCCCTTGTTGCCAAGAAGGCCAATGGCATTTTGGGATGTATAAGTAGGGGCATAGCGAGCAGATCGAGGGACGTGACCGTTCCCCTCTATTCAACATTGGTGAGACCTCATCTGGAGTACTGTGTCCAGTTTTGGGCCCCACACTACAAGAAGGATGTGGATAAATTGGAGAGAGTCCAGCGAAGGGCAACAAAAATGATTAGGGGTCTGGAACACATGACTTATGAGGAGAGGCTGAGGGAGCTGGGATTGTTTAGCCTGCAGAAGAGAAGAATGAGGGGGGATTTGATAGCTGCTTTCAACTACCTGAAAGGGGGTTCCAAAGAGGATGGCTCTAGACTGTTCTCAATGGTAGCAGATGACAGAACGAGGAGTAATGGTCTCAAGTTGCAGTGGGGGAGGTTTAGATTGGATATTAGGAAAAACTTTTTCACTAAGAGGGTGGTGAAACACTGGAATGCGTTACCTAGGGAGGTGGTAGAATCTCCTTCCTTAGAGGTTTTTAAGGTCAGGCTTGACAAAGCCCTGGCTGGGATGATTTAACTGGGAATTGGTCCTGCTTCGAGCAGGGGGTTGGACTAGATGACCTTCAGGGGTCCCTTCCAACCCTGATATTCTATGATTCTATGATTATAACTACTACATTGTAGTGTCCCTCATTCTGGATGTGGCCTGTGGAGACCATAAGAGCCAGTGTGCAATGCCTCTGGCTGGACCAAGGGAGAGTTTCCTGGCTGGGCCTTGTAGCTGCCATTAGCTGATCCTCTATAATCAGACTGAGGAAAGCTGCTAGGCTGAGCAGAGTCTGGGAGTCCATCTGTGGATGAGCTGAGGGAGGCAGTTCTGCCATATGACTGACTGACTGTGTTTCCTCCTGCAGGTTTACACTGCCATTTACTACGTGCTGGCAGACTTGGTCATGTTGTCTCTCTACCTCTACTACAAAGTCAAGAACCAGAGCAGAGGCTGTGAGTTGCTAGTTACTAATGCAATCCGGCAACACTTACATTTTGCAAATGCAACTTTGAAAGCTGCTTCCTCCTGCAGTGGCACTAATGTTGATGGCTGTGGGAGGAGCTCAAGCAGCAGCCTGCTGGGTTTAAACATTTTTCCTGTTCAGCCAGGAGAGCACAGCAGGGATATGGTGACCAAAGGACACCTCAGGGTAGCAGTACCATGAATTTACACTATTACAACTGTTAGCAATAGGAGGGCCCTCTTTCACACAGGGGCGAGCATCTGATTTCTCTCGTGAGATTAAGAAGCCAAAAAATTCCCAAAGGGCTCCAGGCTAGAGCCAGCTTAAAATCCCCTAAACACTAATGTATTGAGAGAGAAATACTGTAAATACCAGTTAGCTGTAAATTAGTAAAAAATGACTGGCAACTAGACTAGCAAGTGAAATCACTTACTGGGTTCAAGGCTTGCAACTTAGTCTACAAACATGGAAATAGCTGTGGAGCAGGAGCTCTAGCTATTTCTGAGCTGCTGCTTATCCTGGCCAAGAGTCTGATCTCTTGGCATCCTGGAGCTTCCGTAATCTGCCTCTAAGCGTAAACCAAAGCTATACTGGCCTAGGGCAGTGGTTCTCAAGCTGCTGCCCACAGGCCACTTCGGCCCAATCAGCACACAGCTGTGGCCCATGTGACACCATCAGGGCCATACAGGTTGTGAATGTATAATATCATAAAATTTGTGTGGATGCAGCCCACGTAACATACAGAGAGCTGCCTATGCGACCCACAATGGTAAATAGGTTGAGAACCCCTGGCCTAGCGCAGAGGTTCTCAACCCTTTTCTTTCTGAGGCACCGCCCACTGCTGCCCCCAACATGCTATAAAAACTCCACGGCCCACCTGTGTCTCAGCTGTTTTTCTCCATATGAAAGCCAGGGGTACCAAGCCGGGCAACTACCCGTGGCCCCATTCCACAGGGGCCCCAGCAAAGCTACGTTGCTCTGGCTTCGGCTTCCGTCATGGGTGGCAGGGCCCCAGGCTTCAGCCCCACGCAGCGGAGCTTCAGCTTTCTGCCCTGGGACCCAGCGAGTCAAATGCTGGCCCTGCTTGGCAGACCCCTTGAAATGTGCTGGCAGCCCCCGCAGGGGGCCCCTGTCCCTGACTTGAGAACCACTGACCTAGAGCATTTCCTGCAGTATTAATGGCAGTCAGCTGTGCTTTGGGTCCTCTGCTAATCCCCAGACGCTACCCTGTGTTTTGATAAATATTCTGTGTTTGAGCCTAAGTAGAACTCCTCCATAGGACTGGTTTATAGTAGAGTTAGACCTATATAGTGCCTCTTTCCCAGCTATGTTCTAGCTTTGTCATTTACTACGGTATGAAAATTAATTAAGCCATAGAAGAAACACTAAGAGGAGGAAACAAACTAAGAAATATCTTTAAAAGGGTGAGGGGTTAAAACCAGCCTGGTGATTTGCAGCTTAGCCGTTATTGCAGTAATGCCTAGAGAGAAAGCACATGCACATAACAAGAAATAACCCTGGCCTCCAAAGAATTCACAGTCTAAATTGACAAATGGATGAAGGGCAGGAGGAAGGGAGTGAGTGCTATTATCTCCATTTTACAGATTGGGGGGCGGTGAGAGGGAGGTTGGAGAGATGACATGGCTTGCCTGAGGTGTCACAGGGAATCTGTGGCAGAGTTAAGAGTAGATATAGGGTTTGGTAGATGCTTTTCCTTACCAGGTATGCAGTCCGGGCCTGAAACTGTTGAAAAGGGCAGTAACAGAAATGTCACTTCAAAGTTCAAGAAGATTTTCCCCCCCCCCTTAGATAGGAGGGGGCACTGGAAAAGAGAAGCAATATGGCTCCATTGGGACATTTTTAGTAACCTAAATATATAAAAGGAATCCACAAAAAGTGGAAACACAGACAAATTGCTAAAGATGAGTACAAAAAAATAGCACAAGCATGTAGGGAGAAAAATCAGAGAGGCTATGGCACAAAATGAGTTACACCAGAATCGGGGCCTTAAGTATGTGCTGTTGAGTATTATTAAGACAGAAAAACCTTAAAGGATTTTTTTTTAGCCTTGGCAGTGTTCCTTTTAAGAATGTTAAGCTCAGAATGATTTCCTTTTTCATAGTGGATGAATTGGCCTTATCATGAGATAGCAAATGTGGTTTTTTAATCTCTCTGAAGTTACTTGGTACTAACTATACGACCACAGGCTTGAAACAGAGTGTGCCTAGAGTGGAGCTGGAGGCGTGACTTCCTGCTTAGACAGAGTATCCACATTGGCATACTCCACACTCCAAGTGCAGGAGGGGCTATGCACTGTTTGCCTAGGGTTTCAGACAGGATCATAGTTGGGGTGGCTAGCCTGTTCTGCAGCCACGACTGCACTTTAGTTTCTAGCATGCTGGCGCAATCAAGCTAGTGTGAGGGTCTCTCTCGTCAAGCCGGAAGCTACGCCTTCCGGCTTCAGTGCAGACCTACCCACAATGAAACTGAATGTAGATTTTTAGACTTCCTTTTATTCTACAGTTTTTCCTTTCTTCACTAGGAGGTCTTGTAATGGCAAAAGGAGGGACCTTTACTCTTTAACTTTTGAGTAATCAAATATCTGCACTGAAGGCAGGTGCTGCTAACCTGTGATGTGTTTAAATGTCTGCCGCATGCATTGCATAGCCCTTCCCCAGTACCACCATGTGAGGAATGGAACTTGGTTATTCCAGGCCTGCCTTCAAGAGAAATCTGAACCTGCCACTGCGGAACTGATGCCTCCCTCTTCTGTAGGATGACACTGGCCCTGGTTTTTCTGGAGGTGATGGGATGCAGATTTAACTGGAATCCAGGTTGCCTCGTGTAGTGCATGGACCCACTCACTCCGTCTCGTTGGTGGCACTTTGTAACTCACCTCTGCTTTCTCTTCCCAGTCTCTGCTCCCATTAATGCAGCCTTTGCCTTCGTTTTTTTGGGAACGGTGTCAGCCACATCCTTGCTGGGCAGAGCTGGCTCCACAGTTGAAACGGTGACATTTAAAGGGAGGACTCTTCTGTCTGCCGCAGTGGATGTGGCTGGATGCGAGGTGAGCCCCTCTTGATATATGGGGGCAGGGAGGAGGCTGAGGATTTGTGGGACAGATGAATAATCAGTTTGAAATGGGAATGTCCCACAGAGAGGGAGAGCTGGCAATCTTGTCATGTGACCGTTTCAGCCAATAGCTAGCCAGGCAACTCAAAAGAACTATTGACCAGGTGGAAAGACAACAGTGCATACCTGGGTTTGGTCAGTCATGGACTTTAAGGTCAGAAGGGACAATTATGATCATCTAGTCTGACCACCTGCGCAACGCAGGTCACAGAATCTCACCCACCCACTCCTGTAACAAACCCCTAAACTATGCCTGAGCTACTGAAGTCCTCAACTTGTGGCTTAAAGATTTCAAGATGCAGAGAATCCTCCAGCAAGTGACCCGTGCCCCACGCTGCAGGGGAAGGTGAAAAACCTCCAGGGCCTCTGCCAATCGGCCCTGGAGGAAAATTCCTTCCCGAACCCAAATATGGCGATCAGCTAAACCTGGTCATGTGACCTCACCTCTGCCACCAGATGCCTGTAAATCCAAGGATACAGTTCTGCATGTGCCTTGTACAATGCATAACAGTTTGGTGTTTTATGTCTTGCCCTGCAGCCTTTCACCAAGAAGGAAATCATTGGCTTCACTGTTGGCTCGATCGCCTCCTTGTTATATCTCTTCTCCCGAGTGCCCCAGATCTACACTAATGTAAGTGACCCACTGGAGGTGGGGATGGGATCCAACCCGCTGCTGGGGTTATCTTTCCTTGGAGAAGGTGAAAGGAGCTCCCTTTCTGCTGAGATTCCAGAGCTGGGAGTAGGGGAGTTTCCTTTATCCCTAAGGGCTGCTGATGCAAGAGGCAGAGGGCTCCAGGCCAATAACCAGCTGTGTTTCCAGAACCTTCCCAAGGGCCATCTCTGTATTTTCACACTGGGTCCTGATTGATTTAACCTCTTGACTTCCATGCAGCAGCTGTTTCTCCCCATTGTAAAGGTGGGACGCTAATTTTGCTTAATATTTTACAACTGGAGCTGAAAGACTATTGCTATTGAGCCCACCCCATCATTTAGGATTCTGTTATAGTGGATATCTTTGGGGAGTGGGGGGGGAAAAGAGCGAGATGAACAAGGGATACAGATGCTGGCCAATTCTCTAGGATACAATTCCCATTTTTAATTTTCCCTGCTCTTCTTGGAGTATCTACTATGGTCACAGCAGAGCATGATCAAGTGACCCTAAGCATGCCAACACTGTCTAAGAAGCTTGTCCTTCAAAGAGTGGATACCAGCACTCAATAAGCTTAGTCATCATCTAGATCCTCCTCCCTTTGCATATCACCTGGGAATCCATGCCTGGTATATCTAGAGTATTTCCGCTATCAAGGAAGTCTTTTTATTCTCCAGCCCCTTCTAATATGGCTTCCTCTTCCAGTTCAAGAGGAAATCTACCAAAGGTGTCTCATACTGTCTTTTTGCTTTGGTGATGCTGGGGAACTTGCTGTATGGAATAAGTGTGCTTCTGAAGAACCCAGACCGAGGGCAAGACGAAGGCAACTACATCATTCATCACCTCCCCTGGCTGATTGGCAGCCTGGGGGTCCTGTCTCTTGATGTGATTGTATCCTCTTCTGGTAATGCTCCCTGCCCCAAGTTTCTGTGGTGTTGCCAGCTCGTTATTTCTAATGCTCTGCACAAATAACCATTAAAAAGCTGGTCTCTTCTGGGATGGTGAGTGGGCAGGGCTGTTCAGAGGCAGATTTTTGTTGATGCTATTACACAGCCAACCCATGCTTTGCAGCTGAAGTCTTTCCCCTCCGTGTTACAGTGATCTCTTACAATAATGTTGGAACAATACATGCTTATTATAGTTCCTAGCATGAAGGGTCCCTGATCCTCTTTGGGACCTCTGGTCACTACCCTAATACAATGAAATAGTCCTTATTTGTAGATCTCAGAGTGCTTTACAAAGGAGATAACCATGATTATCCCCATCTTACAATGGTAACCATGCACCTCTTGGCATAGAAAGAACCAACCAACCTCTAGTTCCCCCCAGAACTAAAGGCTTCCTCCCTAGACAGAGCTTCCTAATTTCTCCTATCTAGACCTTATGTAACAGAAATAAGGCTTAACACCTCCTCAGATCTCCTTCCAATTCCTTGCCTATCGGAAGGGAAGACCTCGCATTTCTGAGAGAGAGGCCCTGCTTGGCAAGCAAGATGAACCCCTTGACAGCTGACAAAGGAACTGTCCCCAAGCAAGAATGGATACTGGTGAGAACTCTGGCTTCAAACTAAGCCATAGCGAGTTGCCATCAGGTTCCTAGACCTGTTTTTGGGTGACTCCTGTTAACAGAAGATGTCAGCCAGTGTGCGGTATGATGCTTCCTGCAGAAAGTGCTTGGCCATCTGTCAGAGGACTTTCCTGGTAGATCTCACCTGCTTGTAGTGATGACTCAAAAGGGATTAAATATTGTGACATTTCTGTACCTGGATCATAGTCACTTTTAAAAACTAGCTGAATTTGATTCCACTTTCCTCCCTCCCTTCCAGAAGGCTGCCCTGAGCCAGCTCTGCATCAGACATTACTAGCAAGAATGAAAAATCTCTAGGGGATGGAGGAAAGATGAGGCTGTCTACCTTCCTGTTTTAAGCAAATGAACACAGATGCTGAGAGTGGCTGCCATTTAACTTCACCTTTAAGGGTTTATGCACAGTGGCTCAGTGGCTCCCTTTGCCTATCTGAATAATGTTGCACATTCTTCTTCTGGCAGTTAAGGCAGGGAGTGAGGCCAGTGATGGGGTTGGAGAGAGGAGTTTTAATACGTGTGCGTGTAATTTTATTGAAATATTTTGGCAGCCAACTTTCTAGAAAAATAAATCTTTGTCTAACATGCCTCCCTTAGTTTTTATTTTGATTCCAAAGGACACTTCAGTTTTGGCTTGTCTCCATTCTCTTCCACTTGTACAATTAGTCTTTAAAATGTGGGGTGACTACATGTGGGGTGACTAAAATGTGGGGTGACTACCCCCTACCCGTGGCCATTCACTTTCTCCTTGTGAACTTTCATTTGGTCCTCACTGAGAGTTTTTCACATCCATTCTTTCCCTAGAGGTAAGCTTTTTCCTTAATTTCTAAAGCAGATATGCTGGCAGAGACTACCATAGCTGTCTGCCATGTAAGATGGGCAGTATATCCACACTCACAGCCCCACCTTACCCATGTTTTAAGTATTAGCTGTCCGCTGAGGTTGCTGGGAGATAACTGCTCCAGACAGCAGATGCAGGATGGGCCTAGACCAGTATTTCTCACGTGTGGCCACCAGAGGCTTTTCTTGTGGCCACAGCCTCCTGCACTGTGATTGGTGTAGGGGAGAAGGGGGCAAAACTGTGGCTTGTTTCCCAGGGCTGCCAGGAGGGTTGGGTCCTGCCCCCCTTTGAAGGAAAAACACTAGAGGGGCAGGCAGCTGGTCAATTCCCCACTTTCCCAGGGACGTAGGGGGGCAAGCTTCAGACTCCATGCAGTGGCAGGCTCTGATTCCAGGCTCCAACCCCAGGCCCCGCTGCCTCCCTGCCCATCTCCCCCCCATCCAGGGCTTAATTTGTCCCAGGGCTTGCTGGGGCTGCATTAACAAATATCACTTTTCACAGCAGCAGACTTATGGCTAGAAAATCTTTTTTTAAAAAGCTAACAAAGTGCCTTATGTCTTTCTATTTTGTTTAGGTCCAGTAAAGAATAGACAATTGTACACTTATTACTGAGTCTGAAAACCCATTGCATACATAAATTATAACGATGGACAAGTCGGTACATTTTGTTTTTCCTAAAGTTAGTTATTTTAGGAAAAATGGTCAGCGCAGCCACTAGCAAGAGTTAGTGACCATACTGTGAGGCCACCCAAAAACATGTTGTGAAAGCTCCTGGCCTAGACTACATTCCCCCTGAGCCATCATGTAGCTGAGGAGGCTGTGGCAGCTCTCTAGGTAATGACTAAGTCAGAGGTGATTCTCAAACTTGATCTCTGGGAGGAAGCTACTCTTCCCCCATTCTAGGGTGTTCGGTGACATAGAGAGACTTAACCTCATACTTTGGTTTAAACCAGACACTAACCACCCCTTTTCATTTCACAATCCCTTGAAAGTAGAATTGTTAGTGATAGAACTTGCAACTATTCTGGGTATGAGGCCAGACAGGGGCAGTGCTGCTGTGATAATCCTTCACTGGGTTTTACAGTTCCTGAGTTGCAAAGAGTGCTCCTCTCCCATGGAAAAACTGATTTGGAGAGGGGAGGTAAAAAGCTGTTATAATTCCATAAAAGCTAAATGGAGCACTCACTTTGCAGGGGAGTCTGACGCCAGCTCAGTAGTAGCGGGGCCCTTCCCGGGCTGCAGAAACAAGTGTTCTACAACAGAGCCTTCAGAAGAAACAGGTCAACTAGCTGACAGAACCAGTACAGCACAGCCGTGTGTGAATGGGGGAATCTATAGCCACTATTAACCTGGCAGTACTGACTGGCAGAGGTAGGGCAAGCACAAGAGGTTGGGTGCTAGGCCTCTTGTATTCTATTCCTAGCTCTTACTATGACCTTGCAAATTACCTTCTTTGGGTCTTAGGCTTACACATTGGTAAAACGTGAAAGGTATTTACTTATCCTGGACTTTTCTAGGGCTTAGAGATAAGCGCTTTACTACAGGCAGGAGTGGGCAAAATCCAGGCAGAACATCCCAACCTGGCACTACATCTGTGTCAAAGTAGCTGGTCTGGGCCCGTGAGCTGAAGAGCTTGAACCCCAATTCCATATCACAATACAGTGCAGAAGCGTCTTCTACCGAGTCAAATAGAGCTATTGTGGCTACTTGCATTAGAGGTGGGAGCGTCTCCCAGCCTTGCTCGCGTGGCACCGCTGCCCCTTCAGCAAGGTTTTAATTTAAAAAAAAGGCAGGGGGGACGTTGTGCTATGAGCTGCCTCCTCTGCACTGTGGGTCCGAGCTTGGGGGGCTAGCCCTTGCCCCAATGTCCATGTTCTCTCGGGTGTGCTAGCTTGCCCACTGTTAGCATGTATCTGTTTACCCAGACTAGGAGGTACGCTCCAGCTGCAGTGTAGATGTACCTTAGATCCCTACTACTTCAAACAAGCCTAGGTCACTGCACCCCACATGGGTGCAACAATGGGCCAGTTGGTGGCTACTGATGCACACTTGGCCTTGAGGGGCAGTCAGTACTGGCCCAGTGGCAGGAGGTAAGAGGCTGACCGGTCACAGCTTATATTGTCTGTATCTGTTGTAAAGCAGAGAGGGAGAGAGGCTGTTCACTAGTGCTACTCAACTAGCACGTGCTTGCATTCATCCTTCAAGAAGCCAGCGACACTGTTATCCAGATGCAGCTGGCCCAGGGGATGTGCACAATATGTACACTATTTTTTTTTTTGAAGGAAGAGGAGGAAAGGGAGCACCTGCCTTTAAAGCTTCCCTTCCAGAGGTGGTGAGGGGATTAATCTTCAACTCATAACTTTTGTAGGAAGAGGGGGGGAAAGGGAATGGTTTTTTTTAAACAGCTGGATGGTGCACAGTAGGTACAGTTCCTAGAGCAGGAAATCAGCCTGTAGCAATTCTGTTCGCAGTACAGCTCAAGCACAGGCTCTGGCAAGCAGGTGAACACAAGACTTCAGGTTGTTTTCATCATCCTTGACTTAGAAGCCTGGTTCATAGTCCTGTACTTTTCATTATAAAGTATACCAAGGAATTAATATACCTGGCTCACAGTAGCACTAAATTATTAGTCCTTTGCTACTAAAGGGAGGAAAGCTTTTTTTTTTTTAAAAATGAACAGGTACTTAGGGGCAGGATATGTGAAGCTTTCCCCCCATCTAGCTTTGTAGTTGGTGGCATTGCTCTGCATAATCAGGAGCACTGGTTCAGCCATGAGAGGGCTGTATAACCCCACACAACCTCCCTCATCTAGTCACCAGGTAGCTCTTGGTAATCAGGATTCCACAGCTGCTACAAACCTTCCCCTCACATGAGGTGGAGCAGCTCACAAAAGAGTTCTCTCTAATCTAGGGAAAGAACACAGCCTGTACCTACATACTAATCCCTTCTGCATTGTTTCACTGCTGATCTTAAAATAAGGAAGAGGCCAGGAGGACAACTTAATTGTATGGCATGATTATTGAACTTTGGCCAGGGCTCTGATAGAAAGAAATTACATGTCTTACAAAGGCCCAATTTAAGGAAATTGCCCTAGTAGGAATATTTTTGAGAGATTAGTTAATTACACTCTCCACTGCTTGATTCTGTACTGGCTTCTACCAAACTGATTTTTCCAGGAGTTCTCCCACTACTTTCCTGAGGAGAAAGATTAAGATTTTCACCCTAATAATTACTAATTCATGAGTTTCATAATTCCCTCTTCTTTTGTGCCTTTTACAAGAGGATGGACTTAGATTGACTGTCAGGAATAGCTCCTGAACTTTCCCATGCTCACTTCCTCTAAAAATCCTGCCAGTTTAAGAAACTCTTCCATTCAAGTCCATCTTTTAGTTTTAACAGGAACTACAAAACAGATTAGCAGGTGTAAAACAGCATATTGAAATTCAAGGGAGTGATGCCAATTCACTGCAGTTAAGGAGCTGGGCCCCTATTTGTAACCAGGTTAGGCAACAATGCTTCATAACTAAATTCCCTGCCATAGCAATATTTGAAGCATAGACATACACACATTATATATATAGATAATCTATATATATATAAAAAACCAGCTCTGGGTTAGAGCTGCTTGTGCTGTCATACCTAGACAGCTATCTATTGTTGGCAAATCTTTTCTTTCAGGAAAATGGAAACAAAGTAACAGTTTCAAAAGGTGATTAGCAAAGTTTGACTCAAATTTCTGGACTGAAGCCTCAATTCAGCAGAGTGCTTCAATATACTTAACTTTAAGCATGTTCAAAAATATTTTGCTAAGTCAGGGCCCTTTACACACAGCTATTGCAGTGCTCATCACTGCAGGATCTGGCTTTACATTAAATGAGGTTTTAGAACTATGGGCTCTGGCCACTTACAGGTGTTGATGAGGGGCTCACCATTCCTCTGGTCCAGCTACATGATGCTAAATTACTTTTCCAGGTAAGCACTTGCAAATAGGCAGGGAGGTGGGATGCAGTATACTTGATTAAAGTGTGGTCCATGTTTTAAAGATGCATGAGAACCTCTTATTTAGAGCCACACATTTTCTACAGTCAGAGGCTGAAAGTCTTATCAGAGCTAGACCCTATCACTTGCTACCTATATTAGTCAGCAAGAGGGAGATAATTCTTCCCTGCTGCTGCCCAAGGTATGTTGACAAGGTATTAGAGGGACACCTGTCTTGGGCCTAGCTGATGGTACTTCGGAAGCCAGAGCTGTTCCTGGTGTACTTTGAGAACTAGAAAATTGTATCTAAGGACAAATGGAGATTAGGATCCCATGGTCTTAGATACTATCTAAGAGCCTTACCTAGCCAAAAGGTGGGAGTGGAACAGAGAAGTGACTTCCCTCATGGTTACACAAGTCAGAGACAGAGTTAGGAATGGAACTTAGGTCTCGAGTCCACCACATTCCCCATCAGACAATGCTGCTTCTGGATAGGTAGTATGAATCTCTCATTTGACTGTATGTAGACAATGCCTTACATAAATCCTACTATTGTGGACTAACTTTCTAACCAATTTATTTGAGCATGAGCTGTGAGCTACAGCTCACTTCATCAGATGTTCATCAGCTGTAGCTCACAAAGCTCATGCTCAAATAAATTGGTTAGTCTCTAAGGTGCCACACTCTTTTGCGAATACAGACTAACACGGCTGTTCCTCTGAAACCTGTCATTACACAGGTATAGTTAAAGCAGTGCAACCACCCTAGT